TTAGGTTAGGTTAGGTTAGGTTAGGATAAGTTAGGTCAGGTTAGGTTAGGTTAGGTTAGGCTAGGTTAGGTTAGGTTAGGTTGGGTTAGGTTAGGATAAGTTAGGTCAGGTTAGGTTAGGTTAGGTTAGGAAAAGTTAGGTTAGGTTAGGTTAGGATAAGTTAGGTTAGGTTAGGTAATGTTAGGTTAGGTTAGGATAGGTTAGGTTAGGTTAGGTTAGGTTAGGATAAGTTAGGTTAGGTTGGGTAATGTTAGGTTAGGTTAGGTTAGGTTAGGTGATTTGGTAGTAATCAGTAGTGTTTTGGGGAGTATTCGGAGGTGTTTGATGGTGTTAGGTTAGGTTAGGTTAGGTTAGGTTAGGATAGGTTAGGTTAGGCTAGGTTAGGTAAGGTTAGGTTAGGTTGGGTAATGTTAGGTTAGGTTCGGTTAGGTTAGGTTCGGTTAGGTTAGGAAAAGGATAGGTTAGGTTGGGTTCTTGGTTATAGTGATTTGAGGGGATTTCTATAAAAAGGAAGTTGGATGGTGATGTTAAACTTAGTTTCTGGTGATTTTCACGGTGATTTGGTAGTATTCAGCGGTGATTTGGTAGTAATCAGTATTGTTTTGGGGGAGTATTCGGAGGTGTTTGATGGTGTTAGGTTAGGTTAGGTTAGGATAGGTTAGGTTAGGCTAGGTTAGGTAAGGTTAGGTTAGGATAGGTTAAGTTAGGTTAGGTTAGGTTAGGTTAGGTTAGGTTAGGTTCGGTTAGGTTAGGAAAAGGATAGGTTAGGTTGGGTTCTTGGTTATAGTGATTTGAGGGGATTTCTATAAAAAGGAAGTTGGATGGTGATGTTAAACTTAGTTTCTGGCGATTTTCACGGTGATTTGGTAGTATTCAGCGGTGATTTGGTAGTAATCAGTATTGTTTTGGGGGAGTATTCGGAGGTGTTTGATGGTGTTAGGTTAGGTTAGGTTAGGTTAGGATAGGTTAGGTTAGGCTAGGTTAGGTAAGGTTAGGTTAGGATAGGTTAAGTTAGGTTAGGTTAGGTTAGGTTAGGTTAGGTTAGGTTAGGTTAGGTTAGGTTAGGTTAGGTTAGGTTCGGTTAGGTTAGGAAAAGGATAGGTTAGGTTGGGTTCTTGGTTATAGTGATTTGAGGGGATTTCTATAAAAAGGAAGTTGGATGGTGATGTTAAACTTAGTTTCTGGTGATTTTCACGGTGATTTGGTAGTATTCAGCGGTGATTTGGTAGTAATCAGTATTGTTTTGGGGGAGTATTCGGAGGTGTTTGATGGTGTTAGGTTAGGTTAGGTTAGGTTAGGATAGGTTAGGTTAGGCTAGGTTAGGTAAGGTTAGGTTAGGATAGGTTAAGTTAGGTTAGGTTAGGTTAGGTTAGGTTAGGTTAGGCAAGGTTAGGTTAGGCAAGGTTAGGTTAGGTTAAGATAGGTTAGGTTAAGTTAAGTTAGGTTAGGTTAGGTTAGGTTAGGTTAGGTTAAGTAAGGAGATGGCCATGTGATTTTCTACCTTGGGTGTGAACCGCATTACATGGTGGCGTCGGAGGGGGAAGGGGTGGCCCACAATGAGTCTCTCAGAGCGAGGAAAGTGTTTCTATTCGGAAATCGAGTAAATATTTCTACCAGTGTGTGTGTGTGTGTGTGTGTGTGTGTGTGTGTGTGTGTGTGTGTGTGTGTGTGTGTGTGTGTGTGTGTGTGTGTGTGTGTGTTAGGTGTCATAGAGTTTTTTGTGAAATCTTGGTTACAGTGATGACATTAGTTAAAACGAGTAAAATTTGTTGGTAATTGATGAGGGTAATGTAGTCGAATTAGAGTTACCGAAAAAAAGATGATATAAGTGGGTTGTGATGAAATTAGTTTAAAAACGATATTCAAAGGTGCTTTGAAGGTGTTCAAGGGTGTTTATGTGAGTATTCAAATGATTATGAAAGTGTTTTGGGGATGTTCAAAGTAAAGTGTTTGAGTTAGTTTTTGTGACTTTTTTCTGATGTATTGTGTCCCCTTAATAACTTTAATGAACTAAAAGGGTAAAAAACGAGAAAATGCCTAGTCTGGAGAATGAGGAATGAGTTGTAATTTAATGGGGATGTTCAAAGTAAAGTGTTTGAGTTAGTTTTTGTGACTTTTTTTTCTGATGTATTGTGTCCCCTTAATAACTTTAATGAACTAAAAGGGTAAAAACGAGAAAAAATTGGGGAGTTATGAGTGAAAATTGTGAGGTGTTGGTTGTGGGTGTTGTGGGTGTTGTGACTTTTCTGATGAAATTAGTTGAAACGAGAAAAAATTGTGGGTGAAGTGGGTTGTGGGTGTTGTGGGTGTTGTGGGTTGTGGGTGTTGTTGTCGAACTAGAGATACCGAAAAAGATGTTATAAGTGGGTTGTTGTTGGGACTTTTTCTGATGAAATTAGTTAAAACGAGAAAAAATTGTGGGTTGTGGGTGTTGGAAAAGTGTACGGTAGGGTCATAATTGAAAGAATTAGAGGTAAGACAGAATGTAGGATTGCGGATGAGCAAGGAGGCTTCAGAGTGGGTAGGGGATGTGTAGATCAAGTGTTTACATTGAAGCATATATATGAACAGTATTTAGATAAAGGTAGGGAAGTTTTTATTGCATTTATGGATTTAGAAAAGGCATATGATAGAGTGGATAGGGGAGCAATGTGGCAGATGTTGCAAGTATATGGAATAGGTGGCAAGTTACTAAATGCTGTAAAGAGTTTTTATGAGGATAGTGAGGCTCAGGTTAGGGTGTGTAGAAGAGAGGGAGATTACTTACCAGTAAAAGTAGATCTTAGACAGGGATGTGTAATGTCACCATGGTTGTTTAATATATTTATAAATGGGGTTGTAAAATAAGTAAATGCTAGGGTGTTCGGGAGAGGGGTGGGATTAAATTATGGGGAATCAAATACAAAATGGGAATTGACACAGTTACTTTTTGCTGATGATACTGTGCTTATGGGAGATTCTAAAGAAAAATTGCAAAGGTTAGTGGACGAGTTTGGGAGTGTGTGTAAAGATAGAAAGTTGAAAGTGAACATTGAAAAGAGTAAGGCGATGAGGGTATCAAATGGTTTAGATAAAGAAAAATTGGATATCAAATTGGGGAGGAGGAGGAGTATGGAAGAAGGAATGTTTTCAGATACTTGGGAGTTGACGTGTCGGCGGATGGATTTATGAAGGATGAGGTTAATCATAGAATTGATGAGGGAAAAAAGGTGAGTGGTGCGTTGAGGTATATGTGGAGTCAAAAAACGTTATCTATAGAGGCAAAGAAGGGAATGTATGAAAGTATAGTAGTACCAACACTCTTATATGGGTGTGAAGTTTGGGCTGTGAATGTAGCAGCTAGGAGGCGGTTGGAGGCAGTGGAGATGTCCTGTCTAAGGGCAATGTGCGGTGTAAATATTATGCAGAGTGTGGAAATTAGGAGAAGGTGTGGAGTTAATATAAGTATTAGTCAGAGGGCTGAAGAGGGTTTGTTGAGGTGGTTTGGTTATTTAGAGAAAATGGATAAAAGTAGAATGACAGGGAGAGCATTTAAATCTGTAGGAGAAGGAAGGCGGGGTAGGGGTCGTCCTTGAAAAGGTTGGTAGGAAGGGGTAAGGGAGGTTTTGTGGGCGAGGGGCTTGGACTTCCAGCAGGCGTTCGTGAGCGTGTTCGATAGGTGTGAATGGAGACGAATGGTATTTGGGACCTGACGATCTGTTGGAGTGTGAGCAGGGTAATATTTAGTGAAGGGATTCAGGGAAATCGATTATTTTTATATAGCCGGACTTGAGTCCTGGAAATGGGAAGTACAATGCCTGCACTCTAAAGGAGGGGTTTGGGATATTAGCAGTTTGGAGGGACATGTTGTGTATCTTTAAACGTACATGCTTCTAAACTGTTGTGTTCTGAGCACCTCTGCAAAAACAGTGATTTATGTGTGAGTGAGGTGAAAGTGTTAAATAATGATGAAAGTATTTTCTTTTTGGGGATTTTCTTTCTTTTTTGGGTCACCCTGCCTCAGTGGGAGACGGCCGACTTGTTAATATATATATATATAATCACTGTTTTTGCAAAGGTGCCCAGAATATAACAGTTTAGATGTATATACGTATAAAAATACACAATATATATCTCCAAACCACCAATATCTCAAACCCCTCCTTTAGAGTGCAGGCATTGTACTTCCCATTTCCAGGACTCAAGTCCGGTTATATAAAATAACCAGTTTCCCTGAATCCCTTCACTAAACATTACCCTGCTCTCACACCAACAGATCGTCAGGTCCCAAATACCATTTGTCTCCATTCGCTCCTATCTAACACGCTCACGCACGCCTGCTGGAAGTCCAAGCCCCTCGCCCACAACACCTTCTTTACCCCCTCCCTCCAACCTCCTGTAGTATGCTATAGAAACTTTATATTCTTATACAAGCTCACACATGCGCTCTCTTTCCCTCACTCACATATAAATACTTTTAAGTTCAACAGTTCCAAGTGTAAATAAATAAATACTGTACATTACACACAAACAAGTGCACTTGACTCGACTCTTGAGAGAACTTTTTTCTCTAAAAGGTTTCCAAGGCTAAAAAAAATAAGAGGATCTAACAACTCATCTTGGAGAAAACTAAGTTTCCTCATGAGTTAGAGAACACACAGAAGGAACATATGCAAATGAGAATGTTGATTTTTCAATATTAGCTAATTCAAGCATCTTTTATGTGTTTAGTCGGTCACTGCTATATTGAGATACTGTAATTATTGTTAGCTTAAATTAACTTGATCTCAATTTACCTGAGATATAATATTAACAAAATATATGACCATAGAGAATATTATCTCAAGGTAACAGTGACAATATAAATAAGTTATATTTAAGTTATATTTTATTACAATCATTTCAGTTTAGAACATTTCAAAACCCTTCCAGTGCTTCTTAATTTTCTAACTTGTATATTTTTTAAATCGTTATCTTCAAATTTTTGTAACTCTCAATAACAGTCACAAATAACAACTGACCTGTTCTGAAACTCCATGAGCTCATTATTGATCTCCTCTATATTGACCTCGCCCCAAGGGATGTCATAGTAGGAGGTCACACGGTCAATGACATCATTGTAGAGCTTGTAAAGCTTCTGCAAAAGATTGAGCTCTTTGCGGATCTGCCCCAGCTCTGGGAACTCTGAGCGTGGCAGACGGAAGAGCTCCTCCCCCACAGAATAACTAGAATGCTTCCTCCACAGAGTGTCGAATCGATTCTGTAAACACCAGTCATGATGATATATGTCATGAAACCACACTTAAGATAATTCATGTCATGACACTACAATCACTAAGTCAACTTCACTGTTTGAGAAATTGTTACTCTTTCAGGAATTATTTTGTGAGGTGTCTCTCTCTTTCTAACAGTTAATCAATCTTCTGAAACTGACACCTATACCTATACTATATATGAAACCTATACTATATACAAAAGTGAGTGAAAAAAATGGCAAAAGTGAACAAGAGCGTATTGTGGCATTGGCAGTAGGCCTATGCAATACTTCACAACAAAAGTTGGATATATCAGTAGAGTGCTGTTACCTAAAGCAGTGGGAACAAAAGCTAGTGTTTCCCTGTTTTAGTCCATTGCGCAGTCTGTCAGCCTGAACTGGGAGACTTCTGTAGGGCAATTAGGATACTATCGTCAGGCATTCCAACAAGGGTTCATCAGCTTCCAGAGTTTCAGAGGATTCCTTCCAGCATATCTGGAGTTACTATTACTTGGAAAATGCCATCTGTAGGATGGCCTGTCTCATACACAGGAGAAATGCAATTTTTATAAAGAAATCTCCATTATCACAGAGCAGGAGCAAGAAGATACAGAAGGTGCCAATAAGTATCAGGTAGAGTAAAAGTTGCAACAAACCTGGGAGATGATGAGCCTGTCTGAGGCATCGCGGGGATGAAGACCAGAAACCATGGGACCAGTGGCACGGTAGTCATGCACGAACTTATTACAGTCCTTCTTGAATTGTGCCACATTGTGGATCAGCTCATTCCTGTCAACAGTTATAATACATAGACCATGTGACAGGTCAGTTGTGGAATGGCCTTGTTACTGCTTACTGTTTTCATCTACTGATAACTGCAATATATTTGTTTTAATAATTGATGCATTGTGACAATAAAGAAAATCTTATCTGCATGTTCCCCCCAAAAACAGAATCATTTACAAAAGCGATGGAAGATTTTGAAAAGTGAAAAGTGAATTGTAAATGTGAAATACGTGTAAATTAATTACCTATTCAATTATGTAATTAGGAGTGTTTTCGAAACGTTATGGTTTATATAAGGCAGATGAAGAACACAAAGGAACCTTAGAAACACGTCTGTTATGTCACTCACTAAAATGACCAGATAAATTTTCTTTTAATTTAATTTATGTATGTTATTATATAGTTAACTGTGAAATTATTTTTTCTGACAGTGGCTGCTATGTCATATTTCTAACAGTTTATGATGTTCATATATCAACTGCTGAAAGTGCAATTGTGCAAAAGTAGCTTGGAAATAATTTACGTTATTTACGTATCAATTGCAAAATATCATTGAAATCAAGAAACAGTCAGAAGTAACATATAAAACACATTATGATATATATGAGTGAGCTGCTTTTCACCTGGATGTAGCATAAGAGGTAATTTCATTTGTTGTGTCAGTATCTTAAAATGTCTGTTTTGAAAGTGATGTTTGTTTACACTTGACTATTTCGTGACAGCAATTCAGTTGATATGCTTTAAAATACATGTGCTCCACTTTGCGTGTAAAACTGGATAAATCTATTCTGCTTCAAGTTTAACACAAGAGTAAACGTTCTCTGCATTTCTTGAAACATTGGATAAATGTACGCTACTTTACCTATAACACTGGATAAATATACTCTACTCTTCCTATAACACTATTCTTCGTGTAACACTGGATAAATGTACGTTACTCCTCCTGTAACACAAGGTATATATAATGTATTGCTTATATAACTCAGAGAATATGTTCACAATTTTTCATGAAACACTCGACAAATGTACTAAACTTCTCATATAATACTAGAGAAATGGTACTCTGCTCTTTCTGCAGCACTAAATTAATCTTCTCCACTATCCTCTAACACTAATATATGTACCCTTACTTTTTCACATAATAAATATACACACAACAGTGGTCACGAGAGGCTTCTACCTGTCCTGAGCTCTCTTGGGGATTTAGTGTGAAGGGTTACACAACACTATGCCTTGTTCTGTAGTGTTTTAGAATCAGAGTTCAAAGCGTTGAAGGAGGAAGTTCCACTTTTCAAGAAGAAAATTCGCCAGGATAAGTATAACAATTAATGTGAAGTGGTTGGGGTTAGTGAAAGGAAACAGGTTACCAGCAGCTATACGCAAGTTGGCAGCAGTGACAAGTGGCAAGTGGTTGCCAGTAAAGGAAGAAACATCAAAGTGAGGAAGGTTGCATGAGCAGATTTGAAGATATGAAATCGCTTTTCTGTTCCCCAAAATGAATATACTTCAATGATCAGTTAGGATAAAGGTACCACCAACCCCTCTGCTAATAAAAGAAAGAATATCCATGTGGTCAGTGACTCACCAGTAAAATATATTGACCATACTTTCTGTAAAAATAAATAGGAAGGTGTAACAGAGGGACTCTTTCCCAGGAGCTGGTGTTGGTGACATAGTCGACAGGTTGGATAATATGTCACGAATTGGGAACAAGCGTCAGTGCTGGTGGAAATAATATTGGGAAGGGCAGGAGACAAGGGCTGCTACTTAAGTAATGGACAGCTACAGATCTTAGTACGTCAAAACGTCAATCAAACGTAGCATCTTGCTTAAAAGAAGAGTGGGCAGTGAATGGGTACCTAGGGCAATTGGTATAAATTTCTGACTATGCAATTACTGCAAAGAACTTGCAGTCCAATTCATAGGCAATGGATAAAATTTCTGTGGCAACCATGATATGTATGCAAGGGAACGGATACTCCTCTCTGAGGTAGGAGTGGCAGTGTTAGTCAACTCTGTCGAGAAGGCCGTTGCTGAGTTAGTTGTCTAGAATTTTAAACTCATAGAAGATAGAGGTAAGGGTGTGTGTGGGAAGCAAACAGATAGTAGCACAAGGGAAGAAAACAGCAAAAAATTGCCAAAATACCTCAGGGAAGTATTCAAGAGACATTGTTCATCACATATTTACTAATAAATGCAAAGGAATTGATTATCAAACAAAGACAGTAGAGGGCAGCGAGTGACTAACTACATTAGGTCTACTATACTAATAGCAGGACCGTAAGAAATAGGATAGATGAACTAAGATTAATTGCATGTGCAAGAAGCATAGACATTATTGCTACAACAGACCTGGTTCAACCTGAAAGATAGAGAAATGCCTTCTGAATGAAACAAATAAGACTGTAAATTATAAACATCAATGGTGTCAACAGAGAGGGACTTGAAAAGCTAATCCTCTGTGGGATTTACAGTCCTCTAATCCTTGATAAGGAAAGTTATTAATTTTTTAGGGTGAAATTACTAAGGCATATAGGTTGGAAAATGTTATATTAATAAGAGATTTTAACTTTAGCCAAAATGATTAGAGCAATTTGACAGGAAATCTTGAGTGAAGTGACTTTCTTGATGCGATCAAGAATTACTTTTAAGAACAGTTTGTGATAGAACCAACTAAAAGAAGTAACCTGCTTGACTTGGTTCTTGCCAATAAGGAATCACTAATTAACAATTTTTAGGTGAATGATGAGCTTAGGGAAAGCGTTCACAAATCACTTAGCTTCAATAAATCATGGAATTACCTTATTAACTGCAATCAGGTCATGGTCCCTGATATTTCTGGTGCCTATTTTATGGAGCTGAGAGATTATCTGGGTGAGGGGTCAACTGGTGTGACTTGACAAGTCATTATCCTCCTACCTAGGTGGAGATGGTTGCCAACATGACATTTTTCACGGCATAGTTCAGACTCCTCAGGCAACATATATTCTAAATAGGAAAATTAGATAAAATAAATAACCCTAAAAGCATATCTGAAGTATACCTGGAGAGGGTTTCGGGGGTCAACGCCCAAGCGGCCCGGTCTGAGACCAGGCCTCGTGGTGGATCAGGGTTTGATCAACCAGGTTGCTACTGCTTGGCCACACACACAAACTGACTTACGAACCACAGCCCGGCTGGTCGTACTGACTTTAGGTGCCTGTCTAGCGCCTTCTTGAAGACAGCCAGGGATCTGTTGGTAATCCCCCTTATGTATGCTGGGATTCAGTAGAGCAATCTTGGGCCGCCCTGACACTTTGTGTTGTGTCTCAGTGTACTCGTGGAGCCCCTGCTTTTCATTGAAGGAATGATGCATCTCCTGCCAAGACTTTTGCTCAGACCACTGTGTAGTATACCTGGTGTTACTTGTCACTGGTATAACCCGCGCATTGACAGCTGACATTAGTCAGTTCAGGTGTCAGTTTCGAGCATCTGAGCCCCTTGTACAGAAAGCCCTTATTATTTGCCGCTCGTAGATGCCCTGCTGAATCCGTTCCACTTCACCACCTGACCGTCAGAGCAGTTATATGTAAAGAACCAGTCTGAGGATGCTTAGACTAACCTCTGCTATAACTCCAACTGTCGAGTGAATAGTTTCAGTGAGCAGCCTGCACAAAGATGATGTCACTTTGACTGATAGCCCGCTTACTGCAGTCTGGTGTATGATGTTATGGCTTCCAGATGTTTCGCCGAGTCGTCTCTGCCACGACTCACTCCACACTCGCCAGCAGTGACAGCCCAGCAACAGTACCAATCGAGAAATGTCCTCCTGAGTCACTTGCCAGAAAAAATCCTGCTCAGTTGCCAAGTACTGACGAAGCCTCACTAGAGGGCACCAGCAGGTTGTGCCCCAGGATGACTGAACCCTGCAGCAACTACTATGACGACTGCTTCACTGTTCCAGAGGAGACTGTACCCTGTTACGTCACAGCTCAACAGCAGCGATGTCTCTTGTGTTGCAGTATCTGTCCAGACGCAGGAAGGCGTGCAGTGATGCCCATCAGTGCTCACTACCTTGGACCATGATAGCACACCTCACCTTTTTTTTCTTCCCTCTCTGTAGGGAGTTATTTTTTTCCATGTCCACATATGTATATACATGTTTTTATTCTGTGTTCTGTTCCCTGTTCCTGCGAGAGACTGAGTTTTTTTTTTCAGCCAGTCATAGGCGACGGCTACCATGTGGTATGTGGCCGAGCGAAATGTAGACTGCAAGCCAACATGCCTAGCTCCCATAGCTTCCCACCAGAGAGTAGACCTCTCATTGGGCATACCACTTTAACCCGTGTCAACCTGCCCCTCTCTCATTCGACGCCAACTCAGCCTAGAGTCAACAAGTCTACTCCTGTCTCCCTCGTGGGCATGGCCCCTCGGGGTTAGGGCACTTAACACGCTGCCTGTTTACCCACGATATCGTAAATAAAGTAAGAAGCCTCCGAAGCCTTATCATTACTCCCCGCTACCAAGAATGACGCAATTAACTCTATTAATATTCGGTAGTTCTGAGTAAATAAGCGGCTGTGTGACATACAAGCTACCCTCCCTTGTTGCCTGTTTAGTCTGTCACATCTGAATAGGTTATAACCTAGGTTCCATATTTCGTTGCCAAAATGATCCTCTATATGGGTCTCTGTGAAAGCTACATTTGACGCCTTGAGCAGACACTTGACATAAGGAATTTTACTGAATTTTACTGCTTTAGACCCTGTATGTTTACAAAGACAAATGTCGTTATATTGAGGGAATTTAGGGGGGTTTTATTTGCTGGCTTAAATATTTGTTCTTCTGGAATGGAAGCCAATGACTGTGCCTCTGCTCTAGAAGTCTTTTCAGTTGGTGTAAGATTTCCGTCATGTCTTGACAGTCTTTTTTCCTTCATGGCCCTAAAAAAATACTCTTTCTCTGGAGAGCTTATGGCTCGCCTCCTTTATTTCCCATAGTCTGGCTGGTCTGTGTCTTCCCGTGCCCTTTACATGATGTGCCTGGCAGTATACGTTGTAGCATTTTCTTTCAGGGAGTGACGAGTGACACATTTCGGTGTGAAATAAGTTACAGGAAGGGGAGTTGCATCCTCCTGTTGTCATGTGGGTGCGGCATTTTTTTAGGATGATCAAAAGTGTATGTCTCACCTGTTCTACCAGATATACCATGCTTGCAGATACCCAAGGCATAAAATTTGTATTGATTAGAATTTTGTTTCCTAAGATTTTTTGTGGCTGCGTTTGCTACTGGTGCATTCTTTCTGTTTCCCCTCTACCTACCGCCCCTGTATGGACATCGGTGCTTCCACCAGTTTTTACTTGTAATGTGTCAACACTATTTCGTGAGGCATCATCTCGTTATGTTCCACCTCCAGCAGTATTGCTATTTTGCACTTCTGTAAATTAAATAACGTTGCCTTTACTTGTTTCATCACCAGGGCCACTATCTCCATTTGGTGCATTGTCCTCCAGGACAACACTAGCGCCCTCTGGAGCACTGTCTTCCAGGACAGCCCCATCCAACCCACCCATTTTATTTTCCCAGCTGTCATACCAGGCTGACATGTCTTTCAAGAAGGATATTTTATTGGTGTTCTTCTCTTTTAATATAGATGTAATTTCCTCATACAGATTAGGGAGAAGACTTGCCCTCTTAAGAGCTCCTCAAGTCAACTCACTGTCGGTGAAACAGGAATGTGCATAATTTTTCAGTGCTTGTTTCCTTTAATTTTTTATGCAGGAAGATATTAGTGAAATTCCAGAAATAAAAAAATACATAAGTCAGAACAAAAATAAGTTATGTACGATCAAAGTCACAAGTGACATGGTTGTCAAATATAAATTAAAAACCAACAAAAAAATCAACAGACCCTATGGTGGAACTAAGGAGAAACTTAGCAAATCATAAGCAAGATTTTTCAACATTTTACTGCAGACTGGTATACTGCCAAATAAGTGGAAAATGACAAATGCCTTTATTGTGGGGAGAATTTATGGAATCAATAGCCATCGAGGCTATTAGAGGCCACCTTGAAAAACATAATTTAGTCACTGAATCTGAGCACGGTTTTACAAAGGGGCGTTCGTGCATTATGAATTTGCTATTTTTTTTTCTCTAAGGTATTTGAGGGTAGACCATTGTCATGAATGTGATATTGTGTACATGGATTTGAGTAAGACTTACGACAGAGTTCCTCACAGAAGATTGTTGAGGAAGGTAGAATTATGCAGAATAAGAGGGAAAATTTATTCCTGGATTGAGGTGTGGTTGACAGACAGGGAAGAGAGAGTTTGCATAAGTGGGAGGAAATCAAATTGGTGACGTGCCACAAGCGGTGTTTTACACGGGTCAGTGTTGGGTCCTCTATTCTTCATAAAATCCATAAACTACATGTCGATAATTGTTTGCCAGTGACACTAAAATAAGCAGTAAGATTAATTCTGATGAGGACACCAGAGTGCTACAGGAAGATCTGGATAAGTTGATGCAATTAGCGGCAAATTCAGTTTAACGAAGACAATTGTAAAGTTTTAAGCCAGGGGAAGAAAATAACCGTGGAGCTTATAAACATAATAATATAAGTCTTAATCAAATGTGATTGTTTAGGAGTTCTGGTTAGCAGTTATCTAAAGCCAATACAACAGTGCATAAGAGTTCACCAAAAAAAAAAAAATAAATAAAAATCTTGGATTCATATCTATACATATAAATAATAGGAGTTCTTAGGTTATTCTTCAATTTTATGTCGTTATTATGGGTTTATTTAGATTATGCTGCACACTTCTGGTCACCGTATTACAGAATGGACATAACTGAGCTGGAAAGCACACATAGAAAGATGACAAAGTTGATCCTATGTTTCAGAAATCTTTCCTACAAGGATAGACTTAGGGCATTGCATCTGCGCTCTCTGGAAAGGTGTAGAATTAGAAAGGATATACTGAGGTGAATAAATGGAAGGGGATGTAAATAACGTGATGTACCCTTCTCCAGAACATCACTCCATCTGAGATCATATATACCCAGGATGACTCGAGTCTGGAACACATTCGTGCAGCATAATGATGTCAACGAGATAAAGTCAGTTGATCAAATGAAAATGCTGGCCCACAGATGGCTCCAACTTCATCCTGTTCTCTACTTGTATGTCTCATAACAATAAAAACGCTTTCAAATGAGCTGATGTAGGTAACATCTCTTAGCTTGCCAATAAAGTTAGGAATCCTTAACCTGTAAATAGCTTGTCATTAAAGCTAGGGATCCTTAACCTAACCTTGTCAAACCCTGTAAAAAAAAAAAAAAAAAAAATCTAACCAGGCCAAGATTCATAGCAATGATTTGTGCCAAGGCATACCTAAAGTAGGGCTGCACACGAGACAGTAGATTCTGCACCTCGACGGCCTGAGCCAAGACTTTCTGCCAGGTGAAACGCAAGTTGTCCACCCTCTCAGCTTCCTCTTGTGTCAGCCCCAGCTCGTATTTCACCAGCAGCCCAAAGGATTCCTTTAGAGAAAATATTCCTTACTACATTCAAGTCTATAGAAGAATGGCAATAATTAACCATTATCGTCACCACAAAAATAATAATAAAAAATAATAATAATAATAATAATAATAATAATAATAATAATAATAATTAATCTAGGGGGTCATCCCAGGAAGGGTTGGAAGGAGAGAGTAAAGAAGGTTTTGAGTACTAGGTACTTGATCATCCCACAGGTTTGTGTGAGCACTTTCAATCTGAGTAGACATTTTTTTTTTTTTTGCTTTTCTTCCTGCTGGAGTGTGAACAAAGTAACATTTATGTAAAGGATTCATGGAAACAGATCAGCTAGCACTCTCAATGAAGGGAGGGGATGATGCAGTCGTGGGGTAAACTGTCTGTGATATGATTTCATTTCTGGAAAAACAGGGACTGAGTGAATAATGGTGAATGCGTTTCCTTTTTTTGGTCATCTTGTCTCGGTGGAAGACGGCCATTGAGGTAAAAAAATAATAAAGCAATAATAATAATAATAATAATAATAATAAAGCAATAATAATGATAATAAATGAATATAAAACAACGTTTTTTGACAAGCTCTTGATTATTTTGGAGACAAAAAAAACTAGAACAAACACTATGTAATGCTAGTACAGTAATTCAGATGCTACAATGTTATCACAAACACTAGTGATATATAAGTATATGATTTATATACTTGTAAATGGTCAGTTGGTAGAGTTGCTCTAGTTAATATTTGCTCTAAAATTTATCACTGTTGTCTCACACATCTGTATTGGAACACAGAGTTCTCATGTCAACTCTAACCTGATCTCCATGACGACAGTAGTCACAGCTATGGGTATAGCTGCATTTTAATTTGTTTATTAAATGAAGGTAATAACAGAATATTGTACTCTATGAACATTAGAAAATTTAAAGGTTTATAATGAGAGCAACAACATGAGTCAGTATCAAACCTCAATTGGGTCAATCGCATCGTCCATATCTAGTTCGAGGTCACGGGTCTTACGGAGAATGTCAATTGCTCCCTTGATGTCATCGAGGTCCTTGAGAGGTCGCTCTAGACGGCGGGAGAGTTCAGTTAATTGGGCGAAGAGTCGCTCCATCTCCTTCATGTAGGTACTCTTCAGGGCCTCCCCATACTTGTTGACCCATAGCGTCGCCTCCACTGTCAGGGCTTTCTTCAGATTGTCTGCGTGAGGCAGACAGTCCACCATTGTAATCACTATGCAGATATTATTTTAAAAAAATCATGTTAAATGTCAAGGAGATTCGTACCCAATGAATGGAAATGATATTTGAAAATGAAGACGACCAATTGATAATGTGCATAAAAACAAAGATTTTAGATTGAAATGGAAAATTTTAAATTATACCTGAATGTTTTAACTTAGAAACTTAGAATTATAAAGAAGATCGAAGGTTGTTCATATGCTGAAACAGGTTAAAATGTCGCCTCACCTGTGTTCACTGCCAGCGCTCCCACCCGGTAGCGGCTGGGCTCATCCTTGATCTGCTTATCCAGGTCAACATAGCTCTTGAGGGTCTTGTCGTAGTCCTGGAGTGACGGGCAGCTGCTAATGAACTCTCTGATTGCCATCTCCTTGTCCACACGCCAGAGATGGTGGTACTTTTCCCAAGTGCTGAAAGTGTTGTACAGCTCCTGTAATGGGGTAATGCCAGTTAATATTTCACGAAGACTGTCTTCCTCTATGAACACTGCAAAAATATCCTGCAATTGTAGAGGAAACCATTGATGACTGTGAAGGCTTACTCAGCCCTGAAACAACTTCAGACAGTATTACCAAGGCTGGCTCCTCCTCAGGAAAATTAATGAATAGAAAAAGAAATAATAATTCACAAAGATAAAACAGCAAAACATGAAATGCATATCCTATTTGAAAGAAAAATGAAAAATGAAATGAAAAAATGACATTTGAACTCAACGCTAATATATATAGATATAGTGATACTGGGGTGTCTGGTGTTGGTGACACTGCGTTTTGTTGGAAATCGTAGCCGTTGCTGATGATGTGGGGGGGGGGGGGGTCGCAGGTGTTGGTGACAACCCACCGGCTCGTTCTTCACAGAGTCTATAGCCGTGAATAATTAATCCAGATGACAGAAAAGCAGATTCGTTACCACTGCTATGTTTGAGGGGTTTTTGTCCCACGTCGGCGTACATAACAGGTAGGTAGATTCAACATGGGACGTCTCTGGACATTAGTCCATCTCCTTCAATTCTTTCGTTGGTTGGCAGGTGACCCAATCTGTCATTCCAAGCTGGAAAGAGAGACAGGTTACCCACTGCTTAAGAAATCACTCTCCATGATAAGTACAATACCTAAAAGCGTGGTGATTATTAAGGGCATTTAACAGAGTTAAGACTGAAAGGACTAAGTTTATTATTGGTCAAAAGTGAAGCTTTCAACCAATAAGTCCACTAGAATATGAACAGGCATGTACTTACAGTAGTGCTGGGAGCTGTGAGTTGGAGTGATTACTGTTTGACCGGAAACCCCCCACGTCACCTTTGGGGGGGGGGGAATGAAGGAAGGGATAGCGGGAGCTAGACTTACCCTACCTTAACAAGCAGCCGGCAATCAAACTATCACTTTCGGGGTGGGGGGAAAAAGGGGGGGGATAGCAGGAGCTAGACTTCCCCTACCTTAACAAGTAGCCGGCAATCAAACTATTGTTACCATATACTTGCTCGATACTCCTATCTGTTGAACTTTTCCCTCACACTCCCCCATACCAAGACTTACAGTCAAGGAGTATAAGAAGAATAGGCGAGGAAAAAGTTCTAACATGTGGAAGTCGCTTAAGGCAGCAAATCTACTGACTGTCACGTCTTAACCAGAGAAATAATTAGATGAACCGTTTCTAAAATGAATTCTTTTCCCAGTAAATAAAATTTAAGTTTGGAAATACTCCACACAAGGGCCAAACATTCCTTTTTCTATGGTGGAGTATCTCGTTTCTGCAGGAGGGAAGTTTTAGATTTAATAAATATACAGGAACTAGGAGTGTGTATTTTGTGCAGCAAGCACCTGACACCTATTGCAAGAACTATACTTCTTTGTAACCTGAGAGTACATGCTTGGCCAGAAATAAGTGTGCTTGAGTTTATGCCACGTCTTACGATGAGCCAAGTGTTTGGTCACTGGCAAATCATGAGACATTTGAAGAACAGTCTCTCGACATGGTTTAGGAACAACAAGGAGGGAATAATCTATCGCTGAAGAATGAGATTTAAATACAGATTTATATAAGATACCATTAATATATTTGAACTTATGAGATACGTATCTCCCATGGATAACTTTGTTGTTAAAAGCTTGATTATGACAATCCCGAAGTGAAGGGCAATCGCGCTGTAAATTGACAAAGTCATCCTTGGACATAAAATCTGGGGAAATAAAAGGACTCACTGTGGGAGAAGAGGAGGTAGGAGAAGCCGGGGTTATGGTCTGAGTCCTAGTCAAGACATTTAGAGTGCCGGAGGCAATACCCTTACTTTCACCCTAGTGGACAGGTGATCCTGCTACCTCACTATCGAGAGCAGTATCATCTGTTTCCACCCCCAAATGAACAGTACGAGACAATGCAACTTCCGGTGCGGAATTGTTAAGTTGATTATTTAACTTGCAAGGAAGAAGAGCTGGAAAACTTAGATCCGTGGGTGGTGACGAAAGATCCGCCTCTGAAGGAAGAACGGCACCTTTAATGTTACCCACTATTATAGAACAAGTAATTGGGGCTAGTACCGCATTAGTCCAACCGGTGAACCATTTAGTTTTCAAGTAACAACGTATTGTAGGGAAAGTATTTTCACGACCCAAGTAATCGGAAAGAATAGAGGACACACGAGAGGTTTTAAACTTAAAGTAAGGGAACAGTTTGTCCGAAATTACGATACACGTACATCCAGTGTCACGTAATATGTCTGAGACTTTTATACCATTAACTGCTCCTGAACAGAAGGGTGCTTGGTCATTACCGTCAACAAAACATCTACCAACTTTCTCTATTTTCTTGGAAGGACAATCTGGACGTTTATGTCCGATACCACCACACCGATGACATGTTGGTATAATAGCTGGTGACTTTTTTTCTACTCTAGGCTTCTTAATCTTTGGTTCAGGTGAACCATTGCCCTTAAGGTTCGATCCCTTTAAGTCTTTATAGGAATTGTGAGACTCAGCATACAAGTCAGCGGCCTCAGCAACTTCATCAGCTTTAATCAGGTTACGTTCTCTAATGAATGTTCGTATCTGGTGAGAAAGAGCTGTCAGGAACTGGTCAGCAACCATAAAGTCTCTAAGAGATTCATAACTGTGATCAATTCCTGAACTCTCTATCCAAAAGTCGAACAAACGAAAGAGTGTTACCTGTAACTGCTGAAAGTTCTGGCCCGGCTGTAAGGTGGCATACCTGAAATCTTTCCTATAAGAATTTGTGGTTTTTTGATATGCTTTAAGGATTGCCTTCTTCAGTAAGTTATAATTACATACGATATCCTGCGACAAAGTTGCATAGATATTCAAAGCTGTTCCAGAAAATAACATTCCTAACCTGGTAGCCCAGGTGTCAGCAGGCCATTCACAGAGGGTAGCGGTATTTTCAAACCTGATAATGTATAAAGTAATGTCTTCACCCTCTGTGAAGGGAGGTAAATTAGGTGTTGGAATATGTGCACTGACTGCACGTTGTTCCATTACTCCTTCCTCTAATTGTTGTTGTGTAAAAGTTAACTTTTTATTCTCTAATTCAAGGTGAGCTTTTTCGAGCTCGCGATCTTTTTCTCTCTCTCTTAATTCATGTTCTCTAACTCTTTCCTCACGTTCTAGCTCTCTCCTCACGTTCTAGCTCTCTCCTCACGATCAAGTCTATCACTCTCCTTTTTGTCTTCTCTCTCTTTTTCTAACTGTCTATCTTGATTTTCTCTTTCAATTCTCTCTCTCCTTTTTCTCTTCTCTTTCGATTTTCTCTCTCTCCTTTTCCTCCTGTCTTTTCCTTTCTAACTGTCTCTCTTCTCTCTCAATTCTCTCTTTCAAGTCTTTCTTGGATCTTAGCACTGATGAAAGATTCTAAATTTTTCCCTGTTATTCCTAACTTACTTCCAGCATTCATCCAAAACTGGTATTCCTCTATACTTGCAAGAATTTAAACTACCAGGGGGAAAATGAAACGGGTCTCAAAGAAAACGGAGGGTTCAATTTCTGCTCCGCTCAAACTGTAAATAAACCAGAGGGCTCGATCCCTGCTTCAATTAAACAATATGTATTAATGAAAACGAAGGGTTCTATGCCGGCTCCGAGCAAACAGTAAGTAGAATGGGGTCCCTTGACCATCCAATCTTCTCACCAACAAATCAAGAGTGTCCTACGACAGTTCCCTCGATATAATAAAGAGCTCAATGAAACAAATTATCACTGGAAAATCTCGGGTCCCTAGAGTCTAATCCTCCAAAGTGTTTCAAGCTCGAAAAAAAGGTGGCAGAATTAACTATTATATCCTGCCTGACTTGACTTACAATAAATTGAGACTATAACAATCACCAAATCTTTTAAATACCTGTACCGTAGTCCTACAATAGAGAATGATTACTCATGGCTGGTGGTAACCGTCTGTGGTATGCGGCGTTGAAGTTCCAATGGTAGATTCGAGATGGAGTTGAATCTTGATTCAGTCGAGTTGATCCTGGCAAAGTCGCCACTTGTGAAGGCTTACTCAGCCCTGTAACAACTTCAGTCAGTATTACCAAGGCTGACTCCTCCTCAGGAAAATTAATGAATAGAAAAAGAAATAATTCACAAAGATAAACACTTTATTATTTATTAAAGCAAACATAAAACAGTGAAACCATGAAAGGTATATCTTATTTGAAAGAAAAATGAAAAATGAAATGAAAAAATGACATTTGAACTCAACGCTAATATATATAGATATAGTGATACTGGGGTGTCTGGTGTTGGTGACACTGCGTGTTGTTGAAATCGTAGCCGTTGCTGATGATGTGGGGGGGGGGTCGCAGGTGTTGGTGACAACCCACCGGCTCGTTCTTCACAGAGTCTATAGCCGTGAATAATTAATCCAGATGACAGAAAAGCAGATTCGTTACCACTGCTATGATGAGGGGTTATGTCCTACGTCGGCGTACATAACAGGTAGGTAGATTCAACATGGGACGTCTCTGGACGTTAGTCCGTCTCCTTCAATTCTTCTCGTTGGTTGGCAGGTGACCCAATCTGTCATTCCAAGCTGGAAAGAGAGACAGGTTACCCACTGCTTAAGAAATCACTCTCCATGATAAGTACAATACCTAAAAGACGTGGTGATTATTAAGACATTTAACAGAGTAAGACTGAAAGGATTAAGTTTATTATTGGTCAAAAGTGAAGCTTTCAACCAATAAGTCCACTAGAATATGAACAGGCATGTACTTACAGTAGTGCTGGGAGCTGTGAGTTGAGTGATTACTGTTTGACCGGAGCCCCACACGTCACCTTTGGGGGGGGGGGATGAAGGAAGGGATAGCGGGAGCTAGACTTACCCTACCTTAACAAGTAGCCGGCAATCAAACTATTGTTACCATATACTTGCTCGATACTCCTATCTGTTGAACTTTTCCCTCACAATGACGTACTGATCCATTTTGGGCCATTTTCAAACAATTGTCCAAGAATTGGAGATAGAAAATATCCCAGGATGGACTAAAACATTAGTTGTAATTCCTTCTCAGTGTTCTGACTCTTATAAAACACAAACGCTTTTTTTACCTCTGAGCCTTGAGTCTGATGCAAAGGTTTGTACAGTCACAGTGACAACGGTTTTGAAGTAATATCAAGTAAGATCAAGTAAGATCAAGTAAGATCAAGTAAGATCAAGTAAGGCCTCTATCACAAATGCTCATAACCTGAATTATCGGAATTTAATGTTTCAGTCAGTTTACTCATATATCTTTCAATAATATAATATACTCTTTTAATTATTAATATAAAAACTGGTGAGATGTTCACTAACCTATAACAAAATAATATATTACTTTTAATGTTTCATTTACAAATGTCTTCAATTAACACAGATGATGATACAAGGCACAAAGAACATTCTCGAAAGAAGTTTAGCCTAAGATCTTTCATCTCAAGGAAATGCATGACAAGAGTAAGCCCAAATGAAATTATAAGTAAAGTTTACATATATTTCTGTCATGAAATGGCTTCCATAAATATTTGTGTATATTTAATATTTAGATAGACCAAAATAACTTACTGAACTGGGAATCTTTTATTAAGATCACAGGAGATAAGAATGACATATATAACACAATCCAAGTTAGAAGATAAGGATTTCACCATCAGACATTAGTTTCTTGGCAGCTGTACTCGCTATTTATCCTCTTCAGAGTGGACTAGAATAATATGTAGGTGTGATTAAAGCTTTTGGTTGATCGGAGAGAACTGGAATGCAGTTCATTACTTACATTTTTGGTTGACTGGAAGGAGTTTGTCATATGACTCATGACTTTGGAGACATCTTTGCTTTCATATACATGAGTGTAGTAGTTCTTGGTCATGGCTGGTACCTCCAGCACCTCCTCCCGTGCCTTCCACGATCTCCGGTTGCCGGACGGGTCTTCACATTTTCTCAAAGGTTCTCCTGTCTGCTCGAAAGATAAAGCAAATGAAGATACGTACCGTAAATTAATGTTCAGCTTTTTTGGTGTAAAGAATGGTGTAATAATAATAGTTTAGATAATATTTTAGAAATTGATTCAGAATTAAAACTGCGATATTCCATACCATTACCAAGGAACACTCACGTCCTCTTTGCGGCATCTAATCCACTGGGAAACACCTCTAGCCGTAGAGAGAATAATCTTTGACACTTTGTTGATGGCTTCCTGCACCTCATCCAGACTGGGGGTCACTTGCACACCAGGGGACACTAGTGAGGCACTTAGCTCCACCAATGCCACTCCCTGAGTCTCCTCCACTGCGCTGCTTCTAGTGCCACCAATAATGTTGCCACCACCACGCCTGCTACTCACTTCACCTGGGATGAATTATAAAGCAAATTGTAGTAGAGGAAATGAATAGTTAACAGAAACATTAATATTATGCAATTTTTTTAATACTATAATGAATGTGAAAATTACTCTATCATATAGCCAAGCACTGTTTTCCTGACACCTGGTAAAACAAACTAACACAAGAACACACACATGCGCATACATAACAAAAAAGGCACAATACCGTGACTGGAACGATAAACAAATAACCCGCACATAGAAGAGAGGAGCTTACGACTACCATTTACAAAGTCACACAGTGTGACTTTATAAATGGTAAAAGTCGGACCAAAACGTCGTCGTAAGCTCCTGTCTTCTATGTGGGGGTTATTTGTGTATCATATAAACAAATCAGACAATAACCTTGAGCACGCGGGGCGGTCACAGATGTATGCTTGCGGATGCTGTCGAGTGCTCCTCTGACAGACTTAATGAGGACGTCCAGCACCCGACGGTGGTATATACGTCGCAGATCTCGTGCAGCCATCTCCACCTACAACAATAACTAGCTAATAGAGAAGAGGGATAGTGCGGGAAATGAGGGAGTTTCATAGAATGTTAGTGAGGAAGATGTAAAATGCGTAATGCATTTTTAGGAAGGGAGCAAGTGAAGTCAGGTCAGAAAAATACTGCTAATGATAAGGTGTGGCATGCTCGAGGAGCGAAGGATTTAACAAGTAAAGAAATCTTATTAAAAGAGGGAAAAGGATTAATATTAATTATAAAACTTGTGCATGAAGTTTATCCCGACATAGACTCCATTACTCTAACCTGTGTCCTAATCTCAGATGTCCATACCAACTTGTAAATCATTCCACCCACTTAGAAATCAAACATTTTCACCTTTTCTCGCATCTCCCTCTTCTTCTTGGCTGCCTTTTCCTGAGGTGTGAGGGGTTTAGTGGGCAGCTCCAGGGTGGTGGCAAATGGTCCTTCTGCCACAGGCACTGGACTGCGACGAGATGATCCGCCAGCAGATGACACTGTAGGCAACGGGTGAGTTAGGGATAGAGTACTGTGGAACGACACTGTATGATTATTTAGTAGAAACTAGAAATGCAAAGGGGAAGCTAGAAAAGCTAAAGAGAGAAATTAGAAGCACTAGAGAAATGACAGAGAAACGAGAATATGAAGAAGAGATCGAGGGACAGAACGAGGGGTGGAAGGGGAGAAAATAGGAACGAGAGAGAGAGAGAAAAAGAGAGAGAGAGAGAGAGAGAGAGAGAGAGAGAGAGAGAGAGAGAGAGAGAGAGAGAGAGAGAGAGAGAGAGAGAGAGAGAGAGAGAGAGAGAGAGAGAGAGGTGCGTGCATTTCCTTCTTAAATCTCTTGACCATGAAAAGGCTGTGGACCCAGACAAGTTGAGCCCAAGATTGCTGAGAAGATGTGCAGACCAGCTAGCAGAACCTCTAACTCGCATCTTTCAGCACTGCCTAGTACAGTGTAAATGGCCCTCTCTATGGAAAGAGGCAAATGTAGTCCCTGTTCACAAAAAGAAGAGCAGAGCAGAAATCAGCAACTACAGACCAGTGTCACTCCTGTCAATCACTGGTAAGATCCTTGAGACAATAATCTCAAGACAAATGACAGAGTTTTTTGACTACCACTCACTACTTTGTGATCGTCAATATGGCTTCAGGAAAGGTTACTCTGCTGCTGCTGATCTGTTGTTAAACCTCTCTACTAAGTGGCACCAGTCACTGGATGAATCCAAAGTCAGCTGTGTGGTAGCACTGGACATTGCTGGCGCTTTCGACAGGGTGTGGCACCAGGGCCTCTTAGCAAAACTTCAACCACTGGGAATTGCAGGCTCTACGCTATGTCTCCTGTGATTACTTTCATGGTAGATCTCTAAGTGTAGTTCTCAATGGAATGGAATCAGCAAGACATCCTATTGGGGCAAGTGTTCAACAAGGAAGCGTGCTGGGACCATTGTTATGGAATGTCTACTTCAACGACCTTCTTCATCTCATCCCAGAATCACATGCATATGCAGACGACTGTACACTGACATTCACTTATCCAAGAGAAGAAATGCCAGCTGCTCTAAGCTACATCAATCACCAGCTGAGAGCTATATCGGCTTGGGGAAATAGATGGCAAGTAACATTTGCACCTGAGAAAACGCAAATGATGATCGTCTCTAGGCACCATGATGGTAATGTTGGTGCAGTAGTAAGGATGAATGGGAGGGTGTTGGCACCTGGAGAAGAAGTTGATATCCTTGGGGTGAAATTTCACTCCAAACTAACCATGAAGAACCATGTTGTAAATCTTGCAAACAAGGCAGCCAGGAAGCTTACAGCACTTCGCCGTATCTCGCATCTGCTTGACAGTAGGGGTTGCAAGATTCTGTACGAGGCACAAGTACGCTCACACCTTGAGTATGCTCCACATTCTTGGTTTGCCTGCCCCCCCCCCTCTTATCTGCGACTGCTTGACAGAGTAGAGAACAGAGCAAGGCGTCTCATCTCTCGCCTGGACCCATCCTGGATAGATCTGTCATTTCAGCAGAGCCTTCAACATAGGAGGGATGTGGTTGGCCTTACTGTTATGTACAAGGCCAATATTGTCAAAGTACCACACTTGGATCCTCTTCGAGGACAGCGTGAAACAAGCTTTTATGCCACAAGACGGGCAGAAAGCAGCAACTTCACTCTGGCTGTACCCTTCTCCAGAACATCACTCTATCTGAGATCATATATACCCAGGATGACTCGAGTATGGAACACATTCGTACAGCATAATTATGTCAACGAGATAAAGTCAGTTGATCAAATGAAAATGCTGGACCACAGATGGCTCCAATTTCATCCTGTTCCCTACTTGTATGTCTCATAACAATAAAAATGCTTTCTAGATGAATGGTTCAGAGAACCGACATGTTGATCAATTAGACACATGTGCAACTCTTGGGTATCTTTATTGAGGAAACGTTTCGCCACACAGTGGCTTCATCAATCCATACAAAGGAGAATCTTGAAGAACAGGAGGAGAATGAGGCAATCAGTCCCTCAACCTTGAGTCGATGTGGTCAGTCCATCAATCTTCTCAGCACGTATGCCGTATTTTATTCAAGATTGATGGACTGACCACATCGACTCAAGGTTGAGGGACTGATTACCTCATTCTCCTCCTGTTCTTCAAGATTCTCCTTTGTATGGACTGATGAAGCCACTGTGTGGCGAAACGTTTCCTCAATAAAGATACCCAAGAGTTGCACATGTGTCTAATTTATCAACATGTCGGTTCTCTGAACCATTCATCTACAAACCTGTCAGACACTGCAACTTCTTGGGATCTTAATACTTGGGAATTCTTCGCTTGCCTAATTCTTGGGCACGACCTACTTCAACATTGAACAAATGTTACACGACCTATGACTGCTTCACCTCTCCTGCCAACGGTTTATAAGCTCCTTCTCAGCACGTATGCCGTATTCTATTCAAGATTGATGGACTGACCACATCGACTCAAGGTTGAGGGACTGATTACCTCATTCTCCTCCTGTTCTTCAAGATTCTCCTTTGTATGGACTGATGAAGCCACTGTGTGGCGAAACGTTTCCTCAATAAAGATACCCAAGAGTTGCACATGTGTCTAATTTATCAAAAATGCTTTCAAATGAGCTGATGTAGGTAACAGCTTTTAGCTTGCCAATAATGTTAGGAATCCTTAACCTGTAAATAGTTTGTCAATAAAGCTAGGGATCCTTAACCTTGTCAAACCCTGTGTAAAAGAGAGAGAGAGAGAGAGAGAGAGAGAGAGAGAGAGAGAGAGAGAGAGAGAGAGAGAGAGAGAGAGAGAGAGAGAGAGAGAGAGAGAGAGAGAGAGAGAGAGAGACACAGAGACAGAGACAGAGAGACAGAGAGACAGAGAGACAGAGAGACAGAGAGACAGAGAGACAGACAGACAGACAGACAGAGATTGAGAACGAAAGAGAAGGACCTGGAACGAATGAGAATGAGAGAAAGAATGAAATAAAAAGAGAGAGCGCAAGAAACAGAAGAAGTGAATGAATTTTAGTGAAGTTTAGAGGAAGAAATTACTGACCTGAGCGAGAGTCGTCAAGGTCTCCTCCATCATCTAAGTCTTCAGCTATGAGGAAGCTGGTGTTGTCAGCCCCGGGTGTTCCACCTTCCACTCCTACTAGCACCAGTTCAATAAGCTCCAGCACAGCATCTTCCACCACACGACTCCTGCTATTAAGCTCCTGGTAGAAAAAAAGAACAGTGAATGGAAACATCAGTTGACGTAGCTGGACGATCATGGAAGTGAGGGTAGGAAATATAATATAATAATTAACTTTCGTTAGATGTTCACTTCAGGGATCTGGAAGGCTAATAATTATGGTAAAAAAAGCGAGAGGTGAAGCCTCACCTGTGCAGCCTTACAGCAGGTGAGCCAGGTGTTGTGAATGAAGAGATCGAGTGTCCAAGGGGCGGTGTCTGGTAATACGTAGAGTCTTACATTGGTCATTGCCGCTAACACACCTTCCATCCGGTGGTGGAAGATGTCATTCACTCTGACCCAAAGACACACATCATGTAACGTATTTTGTACCGAATGATACTGTGGTAGTTTTATAATATAGATATGATTGCATTCAGTCAAGTAAATTAATATAGCTCACCCTTCCATTTGACAGTCTGTTATACAATTGTACTACAAATATAAGAACATAAGAAAGAAGGAACACTGCAACAGGCATACTGACCCATGCGGAGCAAGTCCATGTCCCCCCCCACCCAGTCTGGTCATCCCCCCTCAAGGATGGAGCACTGTACCAGACCCAGCAGCACAAGCTAGTCAGGTCCAACTCACACCCACCCACACCCACTCAAGTATTTATCTAACCTATTTTTAAAACTACACAACGTTTTAGCCAGAATAACTGTACTCGGGAGTTTGTTCCACTCATCCACGACTCTATTACCAAACCAGTGCTTTCCTATATCATTCCTGAATCTGAATTTTTCCAGCTTAAAACCATTGCTGCGAGTCATGTCTTGGCTGGAAATTTTCAGCACACTATTTACATCCCCTTTATTTATTCCTGTTTTCCATTTATACACCTCGATCATATCCCCCCTAATTCTACGCCTTTCGAGAGAGTGCAGATTCAGGGCCCTCAGTCTATCCTCATAAGGAAGATTTCTGATACATGGGATCATCTTTGTCATCCTCCTCTGTACGTTTTCCAGAGCATTTATATCCATTCTGTAATACGGTGACCAGAACTGAGCAGCCTAACCAAGGATATATAGAGTTGAAGAACAACCTGAGGACTTCTATTATTTATACTTCTAGATATGAAGCCAAGAATTCTGTTAGCTTTATTGCGAACACTAATGCACTGTTATCTTGGTTTTAGGTTACTGCTAACCAGAACTCCTAAATCCTTTTCGCAATCGGTAGTATTAAGATCTACATTATTTAGTTTATATGTGGCATGGTTATTTAACTGTCCAACATTTAGAACTTTGCATTTGTCAATATTAAACTGCATCTGCCACTTCTCCGACCATTGCGTCAGTCTATTCAAATCATCCTGGAGTGCTCTAATGTCCTCATTAGGATGAATTGGACGGCCTATTTTGGTGTCATCAGCAAATTTGCTAATGTAGCTATTTATTCCCTCATCTATGTCGTTTATGTAAATTGTGAACAACAACGGGCCCAAAACTGACCCCTGAGGAACACCGCTTGTGACGTGCCCCCATTCTGATTTCTCCCCATTTATGCAAACTCTCTGCTGTCTATTTGTCAGCCATTCCTCTACCCAGGAAAAAATTTCTCCTCCTATTCCGTGTGCCCTAAGTTTCCTCAATAGCCTCTGGTGTGGAACTCTATCGGAAGCCTTACTGAAGTCCATAACACAATATCATATTCATTACCATGATCTACCTCCTCAAACACCTTAGTGAAAAAAGTTAGTAAATTCGTAAGACAGGAACGCCCCTTTGTAAAACCGTGTTGAGAATCTTTAATCAATCTGTGCCTGTCAAGATGGCTACGAATTGCTTCGGCAATTATTGATTCCATAAATTTTCCCAATCTAAAAAAAAGGGGAGCATTCAGTTGCAATAATTCTATGGAAAACTTATACCATCACAGCATTTTCGACATATTTAAAATAAGTACAAATCTACCACATACTTAAAAAAAATTACATGGATGTGAAGTTTGCAGCGTTTTCTCCCGAGACTGTGATAGCCCTTGTGGCTTAGCGCTTCTGTTTGATTATAATAATCCCGAGACTGTACTCCATCTGTGGTCTCTTTTGTCCTAACTATAATGAAAAGATAATAGTCTATTTTTCCTGGTGGGAGGCTTAGCATTATTGAGTTCTTTGTACAGGCAGTGAGCCTCGGCTGCCCTGGAGCTAAGGTCCAGCCTGGCAAGGGAGAGAGAGAAGGCACTTGTTGACTGTAGGCTGTCTGGTAAGTGAGAACAACCCAGGGTGTTGTGGGGTGAACTGAAGGTAGGTAGACCTATGTCCGCCGATAGATGGCAGCACCAGCTTAGTTGCATGGCGCAGAATATGAAGGGCAGTCTGAAGCGAAATATAAAACCCAGCAGGGCTTATATCCCTCGGGGATGCTACCCATGGTTGTCCCGACATACCTGGAGTACACCTGCAGAGGGTTTCGGGGGTCTACGCCACCGCGGTTCGGTCTGAGACCAGGCCTCGTGGTGGATCAGGGTCTGATCAACCAGGCTGTTACTGTTGGCCACACACAAACTGATGTACGAACCACAGCCCGGCTGGTCAGGTACTGACTTTAGGCGCATGTCCAGTGCCTTCTTGAAGACAGCCAGGGGTCTATTGGAAATCCCCTTTATGTGTGCTGAGAGGCAGTTGAACAGTCTTGGGCCCCTGACATTTACTGTGTTGTTTCTCAGTGCACTCGTGGCACCCCTGCTTTTCATTAGGGGAATGTTGAATCTCCTGCCAAGTCTTTTGCTTTCGTAGGGAGTGATTTTCGTGTGCAAGTTTGGTACTATTCCCTATAGGATTTTCCAAGTGTATATTATCGTGAATCTCTTTCGCCTGTGCTCCAGGGAATACAAATCAAGGGACTTCAACCATTCCCAATAATTTAGGTGCCTTATCGTACTTATGTGTGCCGTGAAAGTTCTTTGCACACTCTCAAGGTCAGCAATTTCACCTGCCTTCAAGGGGCAGTTAGTGTACAGCAGTAGTCCAGCCTAGAGAGAACAAGCTATTTGAAGAGAATCATCATGGGCTTGGCGTCCCTAGTTTTGAAGGTTCTCATTATCCATCCTATCATTTTCCTAGGAGATGCGGTAGATATATTACTGTGGTCTTTGAAGGCGAGAGCCTATGACATTATCACTCTCAGGTCCTTCACATTCCTTTTTCGCTCTATTGTGTGGTTAGAATTTGTTGCATACCCTGATACAGTTATAATTTTCTAAAGTTTTCCATATCTGATAAGTTGAAATTTCTCTTTATTGAGCTTCACATTGTAATGAATGACCCATTTGAAGATTTGGTTGATGTCCGCTTGGAGTCTCGCGGTGTCTTCGATGGAGGTCACCGTCATGGCAGTTCGGGTGTCATCCGCAAAGGAAGACACCTCTGTCTATGTCAGATATGAGGATGAGGAATAGAATGGGAGCGATTACTGTGCCTTGTGGAGCAGAACTTTTCACCGTAGCTGCCTCGAATTTTACTCTGTTTACTATTACTCTTTGTGTTCTATTTGTTAGGAAGTTATAGATCCATCTACTGCCTGGGGTAGAGTACATGGGCATATCATTTATTGCCTTTTCAAAGTCTTCTGGTGTTAGGATAATATCAGAGATTTTTGAGATGGCCAAATTTTGGGTCTCGGTCATAAAGAATTCATTTGGATTGTCGATCCTTAGTCTAGGTAGTGGCTCGCTGAACACTGAGTCGTATTGGGCCTTCAGTATCTCACTCATTTCTTGGATGTCATCTGTGTATGTCCCATCTCGCCTAAGCAGGAGCCCAATACTGGATACTGTTTTTTCCTTAGATTTGGCATAAAAGAAGTATTTTGTTTTTGTTTTTCAGTTTCCTTTGTGGCTTTTAGTTCTTCCTGCGATTGTAGTCTCCTGTAAGATTCTTTCAGCTTAAGTTCAATATTTGCAATGTTATTGGCCAGTGCCTCCGTTCGTATTTCAGATATATTGGCCCCGAAGGTATGGAAGGAAGATGGGATTTTGTGAGATGCAGCTGTGAGAAAGATATTTGTGCTGGGAAAATGGGGATTGTGGGTGTGGAGTATGGTCTGTTTTGGATTATTATACTTGAGTGGGAAGGAAGGCTAAGGGTTGGGAGGGATCTCTGGCTGGTTGTGAATTTGTGGTCCTCCAGAGGTAACAAAAAAAAAAAAAGGCATAATACCGTGACATAGAAGAGAGGAGCTTACGACGACGTTTCGGTCCGACTTGGACCGAACTACTACTACTACCATCTCCTGCCTATATATACCCCTCCCTCTCTTCTTTTCGTTAATGTGATTTTGTAAATGGTCCAAGTAGAACCGAAACGTCGTCGTAAGCTCCTCTTTTCTATGTCATTTGTGTATCCTCCAGGGGATGAGCTTCTATGAATATCAGTACATGCCCTGCCTCTCCTTCCTACTTCTCTCGTCTTTGTTCCCTCTCTCTCAATTGCTCCTATTCCTTTTTCATTCTGTCCAAAATAAGCTACACCCAGTGATATTTTTCTGTCCCTTAATTGTAGTTTTTCCTGTATGATCTTGTCTCGTACCATTATTGTCATGAAAGCCAATTTACCTGGGTGGCTTTTTATCCTTCGAGTACCTTCCAAGTCTCTGAAAATTTGTCATCTGGGAAACATACTTCCCGCCTGTTAGTGTGATTATATCATTAACCTACTTTTCCTCTGCCTACTCTGCATTGTCATGGGTCCTCCCTCCAGCCTCCTGTAACCCATAAACAACTAGATAATCTCTCCTCTTCCCACTTGCTTTCCCTCCATATTTCTATATCCGATTTAAGCAACTTATCATCTCCTGCACCCCTCCCGGTTGTTTGATAGCATTTCCACAAAGGTCTTCTCAATTTCTTAACTTCAGTCTTTTCACTTGCCATTGTTCTACCTCCCATTTCATTGCCAATTTCCTCTGTTTCATGCTTCAGTTCCTTCATTTCCTCCTCCATGCTCTGTACCTTTGCCTCAGCAACATCAGCAGCAGCCCATCTCTTCTGTTCCTTACTTTCCTCGGACACCTTTTCTACCTTCTCCATCACTTTGAAAAACGCACTAAAACTTTTCCTCTTGTTTCATCATGCACCTGAGCACTTTTTAGACCATTTCTTCTCGGCTCCTCTTCCTCATCATCCTGGGTTTTGGGATCCCATTTCTGCACTTCTTTGGCTACCTGGTTATCATACACTAGCTTCCTCAGATTGTAACAGGTGGAAGACCTTCAGTCCCTGCCCTTTTTGTATATAGACAGCTGCATATACTTATGTACTCACCTAATTGTGGTTGCAGGGGTTGAGCATAGCTCTTGGTCCCCACCTCTTTACTTGTCGCTACTAGGTCACTCTTTACCTGCTCTAGGAGCTTTATCATACTTCTTCTTAAATCTATGCATGGATCCTGCCTCCACTACATCACTTTCTAGACTATTCCACTTTCTGACAACTCTATGACTGAAGAAATACTTCCTGTGTATGAGAGCATGTGTGTGTGTGTATGTGTGTGTGTACTCACCTAATTGTACTCACCTAATTGTAGTTGCAGGGGTCGAGACTCAGCTCCTGGCCCAGCCTCTTCACTGAAGCGATTAGGTCCTCTCTCTCCCTGCTCCATAAGCTTTATCATACCTCTTCTTAAAGCTATGTATGGTACCTGCCTCCACTACATCTCTCGCCAGACTGTTCCACTTTCTGACCACTGTAACTGAAGAACTGCTTCCTAACATCTCTGTGACTCATCTGAGTCTTCAGCTTCCAAGAATGACCCCTTGTTTCTGTGTCCCCTCTCTGGAACATCTTGTCTCTGTCCGCCTTGTCTATTCCACGCAGTACTTTGTATGTCGTTATCATGTCTTCCCTATCCCTCCTGTCCTTCAGTGTCGTCAGGCCGATTTCCCTCAACCTTTCTTCGTAGGACATTTCTCTTACCTCTGGAACTAACCTTGTCGCAAACCTTTGCTCTTTCTCTAATTTCTTAACGTGCTTGACCCGGTGCGGGTTCCAAACTGGTGCTGCATACTCCAGTATGGGCCTCACGTACACAGTGTACAGTGTCTTGAAAGATTCCTTACTTAGGTATCGGAATGCTAATCTCAGGTTTGCCAGGCTCCCATATGTTGCAGCAGTTATCTGGTTGATGTGTGCTTCCGGAGACGTGTTTCGGTGTTATAATCACGCGAAGATCTTTCTCTTTGAGTGAGGTTTGCAGTCGTTGGCCACCTAGCCTATGTGGTGCAAGAAAGGTATAAAATACCGACAATATGAAAGTTAAGACACATGTGCAACATCTGGATATCTTTATTGTAGACGTTTCGCCAACCAGTGGCTTTATCAATACAGATTCTAGGACATAATAGGAAGACAGTAGAACTATATACAAAAGATGAGGTAATCAGTCCCTCGGCCTTGAAGTTAGTGTTCACAGCATCGTGGTGGTGGAGAATCTGGAGAAAAGGCAAGAAGACTGGCGGTTATATACGCGTCAGTGGATAGGGACGGGCAGCAGACGAGGGCAGTCACTGGTAGGCGGGATTCCCCAGTGGAAGTAGGTCCTTCCCAAAGAGATGGGTTAGTTGCAGCAGCCGTGAAGAAGGTCTTGTAGATGTCCTCTGAACCAAGATTCCATGATGTTGCAGTGTCTTGGTTCAGAGGACATCTACAAGACCTTCTTCACGGCTTCTACAACTAACCCATCTCTTTGGGAAGGACCTACTTCCACTGGGGAATCCCGCCTACCAGTGACTGCCCTCGTCTGCTGCCCGTCCCTATCCACTGACGCGTATATAACCGCCAGTCTTCTTGCCTTTGCTCCAGATTCTCCTCCACCACGATGCTGTGAACACTAACTCCAAGGCTGAGGGACTGATTACCTCATCTTTTGTATATAGTTCTACTGTCTTCCTATTATGTCCTAGAATCTGTATTGATAAAGCCACTGGTTGGCGAAACGTCTACAATAAAGATATCCAGATGTTGCACATGTGTCTTAACTTTCACCTAGCCTATACTCTGTCTGTGGTCTTCTTTGCCCTTCTCCAATCTTCATGACTTTGCATTTGGCAGGGCTGAATTGTGACCCCTTGTTGCTGTGTCCCATCTCTGGAACATTCTGTGTCTGTCCACCTTCTCAATTCCTCTTAAGTATTTTATGTCATTATCATGTCACCGCTCTCTCTTCTGTCCTCCAGTGTCGTCATGCCGTGTGTGTGTGTGTGTGTGTGTGTGTGTGTGTGTGTGTGTGTGTGTGTGTGTGTGTGTGTGTGTGTGTGCGTGTGTGTGTGTGTGTGTGTGTGTGTGTGTGTGTGTGTGTGTGTGTGTGTGTGTGTGTGTGTGTGTGTGTGTGTGTGTGTGTGTGTGTGTGTGTGAATATGTACATAAGTGTTAGCATATTCCCATTTATATTTGCTTACATAAACTGCATATATTATGAACACTAAATGCTTTCTCACCTATCAATGAGCACCTCAAAGGTTCTGACAGCCTGGAAACCTTGTTCGAAGAAGCTGTGGGCCTGTATAGAGGACCATGTGAGCGTGGTGAGAAGCGGGTCCAGTGCTTCCTTCAGCCTGGTAACATGGGGCACCAGCAGCGGTGCCAAGTTCTTCCCCACTTTCCCCAACACTCGCCCATGCTCATTCAACAGGTGCTGAAAACGAAAAGGTTACACACTCGTAGCACAAAGCATAATTATAATTATGTACATAATCATTCAGAATGCTGAAAACAGAAAAATGTTTGCCAACAGATGATAATAATTATTAAATGATAACAATTATTAAATTACTGATATAAATTTTACTGTTATATTAAAATAATTTAATTCTAAGAGTACATTACATTTCATTCAGTTTATGTCACACACCTATATAGGTATGCCTTCTCTCAAGTGAACCAGGTGCTAAGAGTATAACGAGTAGTGGCCCCATCGTTATGTACCTTAGTTCAACTAGTCTATGACGAGGAATCTCGCCATAGATGTGAAGCGTTCAGGTACACCCATGAACCAACACTGTCAGACTTGCCTCTCAGTCTGAACATAACATAAGAATGGATGAACACTGAAGAAGGTCTACTGGCCCATACAAGGCAGGCCCTTATCAAAACCACCGCTACCCAAAGCTACCCAAGAATTTACTTTCGTACCCAGGACGCCAATCACAGCCAGCCCCTCCCACTCATAACTCTGTCCAATCTCTTTTTAAAGCTACCCAGGATCCTAGCCTCGATTACCCTACTCGGAAGATTGTTCCACGCATCCACAACTCTGAAAACCAGTACTTACCTATGTCTTTACTGAATCTAAATTGATCTAACTTAAATCCGTTATTTCTGGTTCTTACCTGATTCGATTTCCTCAGTATTTTATTAATATCACCTTTGTTTATGCCCATCAGCCACTTATACACATCGATAATATTTCTCCTAATTCTACGTCTTTCCAGAGAGTGAAGATTTAAGGCTCTAAGTCTATCTTCATACGGGAGATTCCTTATATGCACAGCAAATCAATTTAGTCATTTAGTCTTCCTTCTCCAATGACTATATCCATCCTGTAGTAAGGAGACCAAGACTGAGAGGCCTAATCTAAGTGAGGCCTCACTAGTGATGTATAAAGCTGTAAAATAACTCTTGGACTTCTGTTACTTATACCAAACGAAGTAAATGCCTGTAATCTGTTAGCCTTATTGCGCACACTCAGGCACTGTCGTCTTGGCTTTAGATTTCTGCTTACAACGACTCCCAAGTCTTTTTCACATTCTGTATGATCAAGCTCTACTTGGTGAAAATTAGACATATATGCAACATCTGAGTGTCTATTGTAGACGTTTCGCCAGCCAGTGGCTTTATCAATACAAATTCTAGGACATAATTTGAAGACAGTAGAATATACAAAAAAAAGAGGTAACACTCGTCAACAACCAAAATGCTTCCAAGACCAGAGTGTCAATTTCCAACTAATTTTAGGTCACTGATAATAAATATCATGGTTAATATTGTTTGTTAGTTCAGCTTTTCAATATACACTTACGTGTCACAACAGGTTCCAACAGGCTTGTGGCAGTGTGTGTCTTACCACACTCAAAGTCTCACTGACCTTCATTATTGTTCCAGCAGTCATAGAAGGTGGTTGTGATGTCCAAGTTTATATTTTGAGGTGAAAGGTGGGTGATTTTCTTACCCAAAACAGTTTTTAAATTTATAATAAATATTCACTGGGCAAGTTATTGATATGCATGTGAGGCATATTATATTAATTTTATTTTCCTACTGAATGATATAAATACTTTGCTTAGCTGTCATGCTCTGTATTATAATGATAAATTAATGAATAAATTTCGTGTTTATCTTCTAATTGTTTGTTGTTTTATTCTTTCAGATGCCTCGTGTTTGTGTGAATATGGCAGACAACTTCTGCTACATTTGTGGTGAGATGACCTTTGCATCTCAGAAGCGCATATCACCTATATTTTGGATGCAAGATTGGTGACCAACATAAGAACTGGGCTCCACACATATGCTGCAACAATTGTGCTACTAACCTTCATCAATGGTTGAACAGGAAGAGGAAAGGAATAGCTTTTGCTGTGCCAATGACATGGCGGGAGCCAACAGACCATACCAACAATTGTTATTTCTGCATGGTACCTCCACTACAAAAGGCTTGTCAAAGGAAAAAAAGGGGTCCATTGAATATCCAAACATTCCATCAGCTATTCGCCCAGTTCCACATGGAGAAGGTCTACCTGTTCCTGATGCACCAACTTCGGTATTCTTCGAGTCAGATGAAGAAAGTGGCGAGGAGGAAGAAGAGAAGGATGGCAGTGCTGGGTTACAGAGTGACCGAAACTTTGATGAAGCAAACTCTTCTAGGCCACATCTCGTAACAAGAGGGGAACTCCATGACTTTGTCAGGGATCTGCAACTACCCAAAAATGTGGCAGAGCTGCTAGGCTCTCGTCTTCAACAGTGGAATCTCCTAGCAGTTGATGTGAATATTGCAGACTGTTGCTGGACATTGACAAGAGATGATTCTTCAGCCCACTATAAGCGTCAAGCAAAAAGGCAGAGAGTAGGTACGGATTAGTTTAAAACATACTAACACATATTGTACGTTATAATAAAATAATAAAATATCATGTCTTGTATCTTTAAACCTACAGCCAGTAAGCATTTTTCAAGGTGATATTTGGATTCAGGACATGGAAATACATAAGAATTAACTAATCTCATTTACGAAGCATACAGCTTTTCAAAAATTGTTGGCCAGTGATATAATCAGTCCCTCAGCCTTCGAGTTGGTGTGAAGAGCACCGTAGTTGTGAAGAATCTGGAGTACAGGCAAGAAGGCTGGTGCTTATATATTGGCCTCAGGTGAAAAGGGGACGGGTAGCAGACGAAGGCAATGTCACTGGATGGGGAAACGTCTACGTTAAAGATACCCAGATGTTGCATATGTGTCTAATTGTCATCTTGTCGGTATTGTAAACCATTTGTGTACAACTTTTCATGGAATCTTGGTTCAGAGGACATCTCCACAACCTTGTTCAGTTCTTCTAACCCGTCTCTTGGGTATGACCTACTTCCACTGGTAAAATCCCGCCTACCAGTGACAGTGCCTTCGTCTGCTACCCGTCCCCTTTTCACCTGACGCTAGTATATAAGTGCCAGCCTCATTGCCTCTGCTCCAGAACCTCCGGACTACGGTGCTCTTCACACCAACTCCAAGGCTGAGGGACTGAATACCTCATCTTTTGTATATAGTTCTACTGTCTTCAAATTATGTCCTGGAATTTGTATTGATAAAGCCACTGGATGGCGAAACGTCTACATTAAATATACCCAGATGTTGTATGTGTCTAATTTTCATCTTGCCGGTGTTCGCATCGCTATTGGGCCGTGCGGACGTGCTGCGCAGTAGCTCCTGATTGAGTTGGCATTTGCGCAGTGTTGACGTGTACTTGGCTCTGTGAAGACCTGTTTGCGCTCTCTCTAGAATTGAAGCAAGATGCCCTCCATCGAGCAACTTTACCAACAGCTTAAGGAAGAATTGAGGTTGGCGAATTTGGAAATTCGGCGATTGACCGAGGAAAACAAGAAGATTCGTAGTAGTCCTTTTGTGTTGAGTCCTCAGGTCAAGAAGGGAAACTGGTCAGTGGCTGGACAGCAGGGAAAGAAGTTGACGATCAAGAAGACGAATGGAAAGGTAGAAACGATGAAGAGGAAAGAGACTGCCGTGGAAACTGTTGTGGAAACATCCAATACATTCTCAGTGCTACCGGACGAATGTGAGTTGACTACTGGGAACGACACGACGAAAGACATTAAGGAAGGTAAGAATATTGTTGTTGTTGGGGATAGCCAAGTTAGGTATATGGATAGGGCGTTCTGCTTGAAGGACAGGAGTAGGAGACAGAGAGTTTGCTTTCCTGGGGCTGGGATGGAGGATATTGTTAGCCGTCTGGATGACATCATGAGAGGTAATGGGAGCAATCCTATTATCTGTCTCAGTGCTGGAGGCAACGATGTTGGCAGACGTAGGAGTGAGGACCTGATTAGCAGGTATAGGTCAGCAATAGAAATAATTAGAAGTAAGGGTGGGAACCCTCTCATATGTGGTATTTTGCCAAGGAGGGGAGTTGGAAGTGAATGGTTGTCCAGGGCAATTGGTGTCAATTGCTGGCTGGACAAATACTGTAAGGAAAATGCGGTAACATTCATTGACAACTGGGACCTCTTCTATGGCAGAAATGACATGTATGCTAGGGATGGGGTTCACTTATCTAGGTGTGGGGTGGGAGCACTGGCAACTGCAGTGGAGGGAGCAGTTAGGACTTTAAACTAGGAATAGTTAGTGGTATGGGTTTTGGCAGGAAAACAGTGAAGTCCCAGTGTAGTAATATTACGAGTTCTAGGGGAACTAGTAATAATAAGAACGAGATAGATATTGAAAAGCCAGGGACCTTGGGTGATAAGGACAGTAATAGGTTTAGTAGAAAAATAGAAATGAGCAGGAAGGGTAAAGAGAAAGGAGAGTCTTTCAATGTTTATTATGCTAATTGCCGTAGTGCTAGGAATAAGATGGACGAGTTGAGATTAGTTGCTAGTGTAGGTAACATTGATGTATTTGCCTTAACTGAGACGTGGTTTAATTCAAAAAGTCGGGACATGCCTGCAGAATGTCATATTCAGGGTTTTAAATTGTTCCAAGAAGATAGAAGTATTGGGAGGGGGGGTGGGGTGGCATTGTATGTCCGAGATCGCTTGAACTGTTGCATAAAAACGGGTATTAAGTCTGAAGTAACACATACAGAGTCTGTTTGGATAGAATTTTCAGAGGGGCATGAAAAACTGATTTTAGGAGTGATATATCGTCCCCCTAACTTAGATAGGGACCAAGGGAAACTACTATGGGAGGAAATTGTTAAGGCCACAAGGCACGATAATGTAACTTAAGAAATCGTAATGACACGATTGCAAATAAACCATACCCCCGGCCGGGATTGAACCCGCGGTCATAGAGTCTCAAAACTCCAGCCCGTCGCGCTAGCCACTAGACCAGCTAACCACAATAAGATTCATCCAACTAGGTATATTTCTACACCATAGGAAAGTTAGCACAGGCACCTCTGTGACCACAAATGCAAGTTTTTTACAGACGAATCTCCAGCTAGCGTGGCCGTGACGAACTCTAGCTCAAGTCCCTTCACTGCCGTCAAAATGACTTAAGAAATCGTAATGACACGATTGCAAATAAACCATACCCCCGGCCGGGATTGAACCCGCGGTCATAGAGTCTCAAAACTCCAGCCCGTCGCGCTAGCCACTAGACCAGCTAGCCACAATAAGATTCATCCAACTAGGTATATTTCTACACCATAGGAAAGTTAGCACAGGCACCTCTGTGACCACAAATGCAAGTTTTTACAGACGAATCTCCAGCTAGCGTGGCCGTGACGAACTCTAGCTCAAGTCCCTTCACTGCCGTCAACATGACTTAAGAAATCGTAATGACACGATTGCAAATAAACCATACCCCCGGCCGGGATTGAACCCGCGGTCATAGAGTCTCAAAACTCCAGCCCGTCGCGCTAGCCACTAGACCAGCTAGCCATGTTGACGGCAGTGAAGGGACTTGAGCTAGAGTTCGTCACGGCCACGCTAGCTGGAGATTCGTCTGTAAAAACTTGCATTTGTGGTCACAGAGGTGCCTGTGCTAACTTTCCTATGGTGTAGAAATATACCTAGTTGGATGAATCTTATTGTGGCTAGCTGGTCTAGTGGCTAGCGCGACGGGCTGGAGTTTTGAGACTCTATGACCGCGGGTTCAATCCCGGCCGGGGGTATGGTTCACGATAATGTAGTAATTCTAGGAGACTTTAACTTTAGTCATGTTGATTGGAATTTCTTGACTGGGAATTTAGAATCGTACGACTTCTTAGAAGTATTTCAGGATTGTTTTTTGAAGCAGTTTGTGACAGAACCTACAAGGGGAAATAACCTGCTTGACTTAGTTATGGCAAACAATGAATCCCTTGTTAATAATTTAGAAATTTCAGAGGAACTGGGTGCTAGCGACCACAAATCAATTACATTTAGCATTGAATGGAAGTACGATAGTAGCGATAACTCAGTAACAGTCCCAGATTTTCGCTTAGCAGATTACGATGGGCTTAGAGAACACTTATCATCTGTTGACTGGGGTAACGAAGAGAGCTATCAATATGACAGTTTTCTGAACACTATACATGCTGCTCAAAGAGCGTTTATCCCATATAAAGAAATTAGATCAAATAGAAATGACCCAAAATGGATGAATAATAGGCTCAAATATCTACTAGGGCATAAGAAAGGAATTTATAGGCGTATCAAAAGAGGTGAGGGTCATCTTATGAATCAGTATATTGACATTAAGAGGGACATTAAAAAGGGGATAAGAAAAGCTAAAAGGGACTATGAAATTAAAGTTGCTAGGGATTCTAAAACTAACCCAAAAAGTTTTTTCCAGGTCTATAGAACAAAAGTTAGAGATAAGATAGGTCCCCTTAAAAATAACTATGGGCACCTTACTGACAATGAGAATGAAATGTGCTTGATTTTAAATAATTATTTTCTCTCAGTTTTTACACAGGAAGACACTAACAATATTCCAGTAATTAATTTTTACAGTGGGCTAGAAGAAGATAAATTATGTAACATCACAGTCACTAGTGAGATGGTTGTGAGGCAGATAGACAGACTGAAGCAAAATAAGTCGCCGGGTCCTGATGAGGTTTTTTCAAGAGTTCTTAAGGAATGCAAAATGGAACTCTGTGAACCATTAACTAAAATTTTTAATTTATCTCTTCAAACAGGTGTAGTGTCTGATATGTGGAAGATGGCTAATGTAACTCCTATTTTTAAAACAGGGGACAAGTCGTTACCGTCAAATTACCGCCCAATAAGCCTGACCACAATTGTAGGCAAATTACTAGAGTCAATTATAGCTGAGATTATAAGAAGCCATCTCGATAAGCATAGCTTGATTAATGATACTCAGCATGGATTCACAAGAGGCCGGTCTTGTCTAACTAATTTATTAACTTTCTTCAGTAAAGCTTTTGAGGCTGTTGACCACAATAAAGAATTTGATATTGTTTACTTAGATTTTAGTAAGGCTTTTGATAGGGTTCCGCACCATAGACTGTTGAAGAAAGTGGCGGCTCATGGCATTGGGGGAAAAGTGCTCTCGTGGATCGAGTCATGGCTCACTGACAGGAAGCAGAGAGTGTCCATAAATGGGGTTAAATCCGAGTGGGGATCTGTAACAAGTGGCGTTCCACAGGGATCAGTCTTGGGCCCGTTGTTGTTTATAATATATATCAATGATCTTGATGAGGGAATTACTAGTGATATGAGCAAATTCGCCGATGACACAAAGATAGGTAGGATAATTGATTCAAACGTAGATGTTAGGGAACTTCAGGAGGATTTAAACAAACTCTATTCTTGGTCAGAAAAGTGGCAGATGCAGTTCAATGTAGATAAATGCAAGGTTCTGAAGCTTGGGAGTGCCCATAACCCTAGTACTTATAAATTAAATGATGTAGAACTTAGCCATACAGATTGCGAAAAGGACTTGGGGGTTATGGTGAGCAGCAACCTTAAACCAAGACAGCAATGCCTAAGCGTACGTAATAAGGCAAATAGATTACTGGGATTTATATCAAGAAGTGTAAGCAACAGAAGTCCAGAGGTCATACTGCAGCTTTATACATCATTAGTAAGGCCTCACCTTGATTATGCAGCTCAGTTCTGGTCTCCGTATTACAAAATGGACATAAATTCGTTAGAAAACATTCAGCGTAGGATGACTAAATTAATACATAGCATCAGAAATCTTCCTTATGAAGAAAGATTGAAGACTCTTAAGTTACATTCACTTGTTAGACGAAGAATGAGGGGAGACCTGATCGAAGTGTATAAGTGGAAGATAGGTATTAATAAAGGGGATATTAATAAGGTCTTGAGGATGTCTCTCCAAGAGAGAACGCGCAGTAATGGATTTAAATTAGATAAGTTTAGATTTAGAAAGGACATAGGAAAGTATTGGTTTGGAAATAGGGTAGTTGATGAGTGGAACAGTCTACCTAGTTGGGTTATTGAGGCTGGGACTTTGGGTAGTTTCAAATCTAGGTTGGATAAGTACATGAGTGGGAGGGGTTGGATTTGAGTGGGACTTTCACATCAGAGCTTATTTCTTGGGTGGCATTGAAAATTGGGTTGGGCAAATGTTTTGTTAGTGGGATGAATTGTAAAGGACCTGCCTAGTATGGGCCAGCAGGCCTCCTGCAGTGTTCCTCCTTTCTTATGTTCTTATGTTCTTATGTATACCATTTGTGTACAAGCTCTACTTTTCCTAGTTTATAACTTCAAGGGTTATTTTCATTACCAAGGAGAAGGACTTGACATTTGTCCACACTGAACTTCATCTACACTGTTTAGACCAAGATATTAATTTGTCCAAATCCTCCTCAAGTTCATTGGTATCCTCACCATGTCTCTTGCTTACCTGACTCAAGAAATCGTAATGACACGATTGCAAATAAACCATACCCCCGGCAGGGATTGAACCCGCGGTCATAGAGTCTCAAAACTCCAGCTGGCTGGAGTTTTGAGACTATGACCGCGGGTTCAATCCCGGCCGGGGGTATGGTTTATTTGCAATCGTGTCATTACGATTTCTTGAGTCATGTTGACGGCAGTGAAGGGACTTGAGCTAGAGTTTGTCACGGCCACGCTAGCTGGAGATTCGTCTGTAAAAACTTGCATTTGTGGTCACAGAGGTGCCTGTGCTAACTTTCCTATGGTGTAGAAATATACCTAGTTGGATGAATCTTATGGTGGCTAGCTGGTCTAGTGGCTAACGCGACGGGCTGGAGTTTTGAGACTCTATGACCGCGGGTTCAATCCCGGCCGGGGGTATGGTTCTCTTGCTTACCTTAGTGTACATATCCCATGTATATATTGTACATACCAGCTCGTTCCTACCGTGGTTATCATGCTACAGCCAGGTGTTCAGGCCACTAGAGTACAACTGTGTTCGTGATACTTAATATTGAAACAAACATTAAGCTCTTTGGGAAAACACGTGTACTGTCCCAGTACACGTGTACTGTCACAGAGGTGCCTGTGCTAACTTTCCTATGGTGTAGAAATATACCTAGTTGGATGAATCTTATGGTGGCTAGCTGGTCTAGTGGCTAACGCGACGGGCTGGAGTTTTGAGACTCTATGACCGCGGGTTCAATCCCGGCCGGGGGTATGGTTCTCTTGCTTACCTTAGTGTACATATCCCATGTATATATTGTACATACCAGCTCGTTCCTACCGTGGTTATCATGCTACAGCCAGGTGTTCAGGCCACTAGAGTACAACTGTGTTCGTGATACTTAATATTGAAACAAACATTAAGCTCTTTGGGAAAACACGTGTACTGTCCCAGGGTGAATAACCCTGGGACAGTACACGGACCCTTACACAACCACAACAATACATGCACTGCCAGGGGAGGCGCCATTTGGGGAACAAAGGGGAGCTGAAGTTCCTCCAAAATTCCATCAACTCACAAATCCCCCAAATAATAACGAGAAAAAGAAAAAGAAGAACGACAACTATAACAACAACAAGAAGAGCAAGAATAATAAGAATAACATAAGAATATTAATAATAACAGTGCTTCAGTACAAGTCCTCTAGCCGTCTCTTCCATACAGATGACCACACCTAAGCTCCTCCAACATTAACCTTATAGGGGAACCGCCTCTGCACTAATTGATAGAAAACAAATTTTCTCACCTTAACCATGTCTCGTTTCTTGAGGAGAAGAGGTGCTCTGTTAAGGAGGAGCTGAGTCATGTAGGGCACATCAAAACCCAGTTGCTGGATCTTGGTGGCCTCGTGAAGAAGGGTAGAGATCCTGGGGTCCCAGTTGACATAGAGCTCCTCCGTGTCAGGTCGTCTCACAACTAGTGTACACCGGAGAGACTTCTGGATTTCGCTCATCTGTAAGAGGTGCAAGAATGATGATTAAAATATATTTACAACACCTAGGCATCCTCATAAGGAATCCCCAGAGGAAACCTTTACGTATGTCGATGCCAGAATTGCTCTTATTTTTCTTTATTCCCCTTTCCATCCATTTCTTGTTTTAATGATGTTCATATCACGAGAAGACGTCGTCCGATGGGCTTCAAATTTTCAACGCCGGTGTACAGTAACTAGGCCGTGTGTAGGTGCCCCGTGACCTAAGTTAGTGGATCAATTCTTAGCATTACAGAATAGCTCCAGTAAATTCTAATGCTCTCTGTGGCATAGCTTCAAACAGTCACTGAAAGCGCCTTTATATTCAACGACGTAGAAGAGTGAAATTCAATTATGCAGGTCCTTACCTGCCAATTTATGTTTAAAATAGTACGAAATTTGGTTCCCTCATATCATGTTAGATTTGTCTTTATCTGCCTTTTTGAATGACTTCAATATTTAATTGGCAGATGTATCATACGGCCTGGATAGCACTCATTAAGTTTAGTTTGCTTGCGGGAATTGCAAATGCACTATTTTTGTGTATGTGTATAAAACTTAGACTCATTCGAATCTGTGCAATAACTGGAGAATGACTCTTCTGATTGGCTTCATATTTTCAGTTCTGGAGTGTTGTCCAGAGAACAAAGCTCACATTGTTACTAGGATCCATAGGTGCCAATCTGCCTTTTTTTTTTAACACATCGGCGGTCTCCCACCAAGGGAGAGTGACCCAAAAAAGAAAAAATACTTGCACCATAACTTTCTCCATCACTCTCTTGCAAGGGGCCGATACAACAGTTAAAGAAAATGGCAGCTCATGGCATTGGGGAAAAAGTGGTGTCATGGAAAGAGTGTGCATAAATGGGGTAAAATCGGAGTGGGGGATCTGTAACAAGTGGCGATGCACAGGGATCAGTTTTAAGCTTATTGTTGTTTATAACATATATCAATGATCTTGACGAGGGAATTACTAGTGATATGAACAAATTCGCTGATAACACGAAGATAGGTAGGATAGTAGATTGAGACGTAGATGTCATGGAACTTCAGGAGGATTTAGACAAACTTAATTCGTGATCAGAAAAGTGGCAGATGCAGTTCAGTGTACATTTATGCGAAGTTCTGATGCTCGGATATGTTCATGACTCTAGCATTCATCAGCTAAATAATGTAGAACTTAGCCGTACAGAATGCGAAAAGGACTTGGGGTTTATGGTAAGCAGAAGGCAATAAGCCTGCAAGTCTCACTCAAATCCAACCACTCTCTTTTATGTATTTATCCAACCTAAATTTTAAACTACCCAAGGTTTTAGCTTCAATAACCCTACTAGGCACACTCTTCCACTTATCAACTACCCTATTTCCAAACCAATACCTATATCCTTTCTAAATCTAAACTTTTCCAAGTTGAATCCATCAATTGCGAGTTCTCTCTTGGAGAGATTTCCTCAAGACTTTATTTATATCCCATTTTTTAATACCCATCTTCCACTTATACACATCGATCATGCCTCCCTTCATTCTTTGTCTTACAAGTGAATGTAATTTAAGGGACTTCACTCTCTCTTCACACGGAAGATTTCTAATGTTTTGCAATAATTATGTAATTCTTCGCTGAATGTTTTCAAATGAATTTATGTCCATTCTGTAATATGGAGACCAGAACTGAGCTGTGTAATATAGGTGATGTCTTACTGGACTTCTGTTGCTTACACTTCTTGATATAAATCCCAGTAATCTATTTGCCTTGTTACGTGTGCTTAGGCATTGCTGTTTTGGTTTAAGGTTGCTGCTTACCATAACCCCGAAGCTCTTTTCGCATTCTGTACGGCTAAGTTCTACAATATTTACCTCATAGGTGGTAGGGTTACGAACATTCGCGAGCTTCAGAATTTTGCATTTATCTACACTGAACTGCATCTGCCACTTTTCTGACCACGAATTGGGTTTGTCTAAATCCTGCTGAAGTTCCGTGATATCTCCGTCTGAATCAATTATCCTACCTATCTTCGTGTCATCGGCGAATTTGCTCATATCACTAGTAATTCCCTCGTCAAGATCATTGATTTGTACTGTAAACAACAAAGGGCCTAAAACTGATCCTTGTGGAACGTTACAAGATCCCCACTCCGATTTTACCCGATTTATGCAGTCTCTGCTTCCTGTTGGTGAGCCATGACTCGATCTATGACAGCACTTTTCTCCCCCAATGCCATGAGCAGTCACTTTCTTTAACAGTCTCTGAAGTGGTACTCCATCAAAGGCCATACTAAAATCCAAATGAACAGTATAAAATTCCTTATCATGATCAACAGCCTCAAAATACTTTACTGATGAAAGTTTGTAAATTAGTTAGGCAGGAACGGCCCCTCGTGAATCCATCTGAGTATCATTAATCAAATTATGTTTATCATACTGACTTAATTGATTAGTAATTTGCCTACAATTGAGGTCAGGCTTATTGGGCGGTAATTTGACTGTAACGACTTGTCCCCTGATTTAAAAACTGAAATTACATTGGCCGTCTTCCACATATCAGATACCACACCTGTGTGAAGAGATATATTAAATATGTTAGTTAATGGTTCACACAGTTCCATTTTGCACTCCTTAAGAACCCTTGAAAAAAGTTCATTAGGGCCAGGGAATTTATTTTGTTTTAGTCGGTCCACTTGTTTGGTTACCATATCCCTTGTGACTTTTATATCACATAATTTATCTTCAAATATTGTTAGTGTCTTCCTGTGTGAAAACAGAGAACGTAATTATTAAAAATCGAGCACATTTTTTTTCTCCCTGTCAGTAAGATGTCCAGTTATTTTTAAGGGGACCTATCTTTCCACTAACTTGTTCTATACATCTGGATTTAGATTAGTTTTCGAATCCCTAGCAACTTTAATTTCATAGTCCTGTTTAGCTTTTCTTATCCCCTTTTTAACTTCCTTCTTAATGTGAATATATTGATTAATAAGATGACCCTCACCTCCATTGATGCGCCTATAAATTCCTTTCTTTTGCATTAAAAGATGATTGAACCCATTATTCATCCATCTCGGGTCATTTCTATTTGATCTAATTTCTTTATATGGAACAAATGTTCGTTGGGCAGCATGAAAAGTGTTTAGAAAGCTGTCATATTGATAGCTCTCTTCTTTACCCCAGTTCACATATGACAGGTGTTCTCTAAGCCCACTGTAATCTGCTACACGAAAATCTGGGACTGTTATTGAGTTATCCATACTGTCCATATTATTATGGTTGCTTGCAGCAAGTTCCTGTGTAATTTCTAAATTATTAACAAGGGTTTCCTTGTTTGCCAGAACCAAGTCAAGCAGGTTATTTTCCCGTGTAGGTTCTGTAATAAACTGCTTTAAAAATAATCCTGAACTACCTCTAAGACCCAGTCAAGGATTTCCAATTAATCTGTCTAAAGTTAAAGTCCCCTAGAATTACAACGTTATCGTGCCTTGTGGCCCTAACAGTTTCCTCCCACTGATGTCTTCCTTGGTCCCTATCCAAGTTTGGGGGACGGTATATCACGCCTAAAATCATTTTATCGTGGCCCTCTGATAATTCTACCCAGACAGACTTAGTGTGTGTTATTTCAGACTTTGAATCGTTGGATTCGGAGCACTTACGGGAGAATCCTTTTTCTGACTGGCTTCAAACGTTCAGTATTGATAGGACAAATAACGTTGATGGACAAATAACGAGACAAGACTCACACTCTGCTTCCTCCAGGCGTCGTAGTAAGCCAGCTCGTACTGCACGAGGGTCTTCCCAATACGGTTGTACTTTCTGACAGCCTCCTTGCCTTCAGGCATTTTCAGCAGAACAGGATGATCTTTGAAGAACATCATGGGCTCTTCGAGGTGCAGGAACAAGCTCCGCGCCCATTGGATCTTTCCTGTTGAAGTTAATGTATATATTTCTTAAAATTCCTCAATACAAATACTACAATTTTATATGTAACTTCATCACCAAAATGAGTGGAAATTCTTAAACTTAGAAATAACTTCTGTGCAATATACAGTGTACATTTTGTGTTATTTTTTAACATAAGACGAAGAAAAAGTCAGAGAAATTAATCTTTGCGAGTGAAAAATACAATCATCTTTTAAATTATTGTTTACAATACATACAAGCAACTTCGACAGTAAGTTGAAACACCATGAAAGCAATTCATTTTGTAAGTTGTGGATCTGTAAACTAATATGAAACAACTATAGCGCACGAATTATACAACTGATATTCAGTGAGTTACTGGGTGTATGACTTACCAGCGACAGGAGGCAAACCTCGCAGTTGAGGTGGGTTCTCGCACTGGCGGGAATAAATGCGGGTAACCTTCTCCAGCTCTTGATGGAATCGTGCCAAGATCCTCTTATATTTGCCCTCGACATCCAGCTGTGGAACCACCTCAGCGATCTTCTCAAACCTGATAATAATGGAAGGTTATATACTTCTTTTATTGTAGTATTTACATTAACCATGTATTTCTAACAATTTTATTGAATTTTATCTATTTCCACAACTGTATTTACTTTCTTGTGTTTTATCTTCAGTGCTTTAAGGCATTCTCTAATTAACACTAAAATATAGAAAAAAAATAAGTATGCTGCAAAATGCAATAACTTAAACAACATCAGAAACTATGTGAAACAGAACTTTAGAGAAGAGAGGGAGAACTTCCTAACAGGAAGTTAGTGGTCTTTTCTCCGAGATCAGTGGTCACGAGAGGTCGTACCTGTGTTGGGAATTAGTGTGGAGTATTACAGAGCACCATGGCTTGCTTCTGTAGTGTCTTATTATCCGAGTTCAAGGTGTTGAAGGAGGTGATTCTATTTCTCAAGCAGGAAAATAAGTAACTGAAAATTCGCCCGAATAAATATAGCAATGAATGTGAGATGCTTGGTGTTAGTGAAGGAAAACAGTTACCAGTAGTGAGGAGCAGATTGGCAGCCGTTACAAGTGGGAAGAAGTTTCCAGTAAATGAAGAAACATCAAGGTGAGGAAGGTTAAAAGAGCAGGATCGAAGGTATTAAATTGATTATTTGTTCTCCAGGACAAATGTACTTCAGAGGACAGTGAGGATAAAGGTACCACCAGCTCCTTTGTTAATAACGGTAGGAATATCCTTGTGAACGGTGACTCACAGGTAAAATACATTGACAGTGCTCTCTGTATCATAAATAGGAAGGTGAGATAGAGGAAGTGTTTCCCAGGAGCTGATGTTGGTGACATAGTCAACAGGTTGGATAAAATCATGTCCGGTAATGTGAACAAGCCAATTATTTGCCTCAGTGCGGGTATAACTGACATTGGGAAGGGGAGGAGACAGGAGCTGCTAGTTAAGTACAGGTCAACTATAGATTTAATTAGGTCTAAGAAAGGCGTCCTGTTCATATGTTGCATCTAGCCTAGAAGAAGCATTGGAATTAATGGATATCTAGGGCAATTGGTGTAAATTGCTGGCTAGATAGATACTGCCAAAAACTTGCAATTCCACTCTCTAACAACTACAATTTCTTTGGGGAACATGATATGTGTCAAGGGATGGGCACATCTCTCTGGGGCAGGAGTGGTAGCGTTAGCCAACTCTGTCGAGGAGGCCGGTCCTGAGTTGCCTAGGACTTTAAATGGATATTGGTTTGGGTGTGTGGGAAACAAATAGAGTACATCTCTAGGGATGAAAGTGGCAAAAAATTGTCAGGTTACCTCAGGGATATGTTCAAAAAACAGTGTTCATCATAAAGTTACTAATAAATGCAATGGAACTGGTCAACACACGGAGACAATAGAGAGTAGCAAGTGACTAATCCCCTTAAGGTTTAATATATTAATAGTTGAAGTGAAATAAATAATATTTATAAGCTAAGATTAAGGCATTTGCAGGAAACGTAGATATTATTGCTATAACAGAGACCTGATTCAACCTGAAAGATAGAGAAATGCCTTCTGAATGCCACATATAGGGCTATAAATTATTCAACACTGACAGGGTCAACAGGAAGGGTGATGGAGTGGCGATGTATGTCAGACATAATTCTTGTAAGTGTTGTATTAGACAAGATATAAAAGTGGAAGCGACGGACACTGAATCAGGCTACAGTTTCTCGAAAGGCCTGAAATACTAATCGTGGATGTGATTTACAGGCTTCTTAACTTGAACAAAGACGCAGTAATCTTCTGTGGGACAAAATTACTGAGGCATTTAGATACGACAATGTGTTACTGGGAGATTTTAATTTTAGTCAAATTGACTGGAACAGTTTGAAAGGTATTCTTGAGTCTAGCGACTTTCTTAACACGATGCAAGATTGGTTTTTAAAACAGTTTGTTTGCAGAATCAACTAGAGGAAATAACTTGTTTAACTTGGTTCTTGCCAACAAGGAATCACTAATTAATAAACCTGAGGTTAATGATGAGCTTGGGGAAAGGAATAATGAATCACCCAGTTTCAATATATCATATAAATACTTTAATAACTACAACCAAGTCAGTGTCCCTGACTTTCGCTTAGCCGATTTCATACGGCTGAGAAATTACCTGGGTGGGGTGAACTGGTCTGACCTGACAAGTAATTATTCTGTGGGTCAAGTAAAGAATGACTGTTGCTAATATGATATTTTTCAAAGCATAGTTCAAGCTGCCCTGGCTACTTATGTTCCAAACAGGGAAATTCGATCAAACAAAAAAGACCCTAAATGGATAAACAATAAATTTAATCATCTCATGGGTCAAAAGAGAGGCAGTTAAATGGGATATAACCTAAAGGTTTCTTTCAGGTATATAGGCATAAGTTCAAGGATAAGATAGGCCCATTTAAAAGTTGCCCAGTTCAGCCTACCTTTAGTAACAAAGAAATGTGTACAGTCTTCAAAACTCACTTCGTCTCGATAAAAAATATATGCAGGTGAGGATGAGAATAAATTGTGGACGATCGAAGTCATTAGTGACGTGATTCTCAGACAAATAGATTAAAAACCTAACGCATCCCCTGCCTCTGATGAACTGTTTTCAAGGGTTGAAAAACCATTAGCTAGTTTTTTTAACATATCACTACAAACTGGCATAGTGCCAGATAAGTGGAATATGGCAAATGTGATGCATGTATACACAGTAAGAGACAGTCCTTAACTTCGAATTACAGACCAATTAACCTAACTTCCATTGAGGGAAATTTGATGGAGCCAGCAATTGTCGAGGCTATTCGAAGACACGTTGAAAGACAGGAATTGATCAATGAATCACAGCAAGGTTTTAAAAAGGGGCGTTCCTGCGTTACTAATTTACTAACTTTTTTTTTCACTAAGGTATTTGAGGAGTTAGCTCATGGTAATAAATATAGTATTGTGCATAAGGACCTCTGTAAAGCTCTTGATGGACTTTCGCATTGGAAATTTTTGAGGAAATTAGAGGCACACGGGATAGGAGAGGAAATTTTTTCCTAGATAGAGGCGTGGTTGACAGATAGGCAACAGTTTGTATAAATGAGGAGAAATCAGAAATGGGAGGTGTCACAAATAGTGTTTTACAAGGGTCAGTGTTGGGCCCTTTGTTGTACACAATATACATAAACGACATAAATCAGGGAATAAACAGCAACATAAGAAAATTTGCCAGTGTCACCGAAATAGGCCGTCGGATTAATTCTGGAGAGGACACAAGTGCTACAGGAAGATCTGAATAGATTGATGATGTGGTTGGAGAAGTGACAGATGCAGTTTAATGTACACAAATGCATAAATAATGTGTGTCTTAATTACTGAATGTGAAAATGAATTTTGAGTTCTGGTTAGCAGAACTCTAAAGCCAACACAACAGTGCGTATGTGTTCGCAATAAAGCGAATAGAATTCTTGGCTTCAAATCAAGAAGTATTAATTAAATGAATTTTCAGGTTATTCTTCAACTAGTATATCAGTAATAATCAATACCGACAAGATGATGAATTAGACACGTGTTAAATTCATCATCTTGTCGGCATTAAATATCACTGACATACAATTTGTCAGACACAACAGCAATGTGGAATCTTGGTACAGAATATATCTCCTCAACCTTCATGCGAACTTCTGACCCAAATCTTGGGTATGATCTTTCACTGAGAAATCCCGCCTCCCAGTGACAATGCCATCGTCTGCTGCGTCTCATCTAACGGCAGTATATAAGCGCTAGTAGTCTTCCTGCCTGTGCTTCAGGTTCTTCAAGATTACCGTGTTCATCCCCTGTCATTAGCCTGAGAGACTAATTACCTCGTCTTCCACTGTCTTCTATATTTGTTTCTACAGTCTTCACATTACATCAGTGTATTGTAATGCTAAAGTTAGGACTCATTTAAATTATGCTGTATAGTTCTGGTCACCGTATTACAGAAAGGACTGTAAATGTGTTGGAAAACGTACAGGAAAAATTGACAATGTTTATCCAATGTATCAGAAATCTTTCCTACAAGGATAGACTGAGGGCACTGAATCTGCACTCTCTAGAAAGGCGTAGAATTAGGAGGTGATATGACCGAGCTGTTAAATGGAAAGCAGGAATAAATAAAGAGGATGTAAATAACGTGCTAAAAATGTCTAAACCAGACAGTACTCGCAGCAATATGTTCAAGTTGGAAAAAATTAGAATGGATATCTGCAGCCTTATTCAGGACTAGCCATCAAAGTAGAGACCAAATGCCTCTCCAAAATTTCACAGATATGTAAAAATGTTATTGAGAACATGACTGAAACAATACAGGAATTATTTAGTAATGTGAAAAATTAATGACACGTTCCTGAATTTGTGAATGATGACAAGACAACACGTGAGCCGCTGCTAACATGTAGTTATGGTAGTTTCATTTATCATTATTATTATTATTATTATTATTATTATTATTATTATTATTATTATTATTATTATTATTATTATTATTATTATTATTATTTATTATTATTATATTCAGAAGCAGCACATGGAGACTGAAATGAACTGAAGGTAATTGGTCCACCTGACAGATCCAGTGACCCTTGCAAACTGAACTGAGTAATTTAAGGTACTTGGATGATGTACCAAGGTTGTAGAAGAGAACTAATTTGCCAGAAGAAATAGTGTTAAGCAAACAATGACGTACCTAGCAAGCATCTTGTAGGCCATAGGTGTCTCCCAAATCTCTTCATGCTCCTTCTCCACCATGATGTGGATGCGTCGTAGCAGCTCCCTCACACTGGCAGCAAACACCTCCAGGTCAGACTCAAAGCGGCGGTCACGATAGTCAAGGTAGTCGTAGGACTTCAGAGAAATCTCGCTGCACATCTCCTGCCACGACTTGAGGATATCGCGGAGGCCTGGTGGTGGGGAGGTATCAGAAGGTGCTGGCAGGGTGGGCCGGAGCAGGTCACTGGCTCTAGGATATAATTCCAGTTAGGAAATCCTTGCCAAAGAAGGGCTACCAGCCATCTATTGTTGCATTCCTCCTTAATCAGAGGCAATTCTAATAACTACGCTTATTTATGCTACAGTACTTTTATGTTAACAGATATTAAAAGCATTTTATTAGTTCTTGTTATATCAGTATTATAAGACTTATTTAATTTACATGCAGTTAAAGTTACTTCTAGATGTTATGGTTTATAACTAAAAAGGTTTCAAAGCAGAGAAGCAGCTTGGTTTAGTAGACACAGTAGCTGTATACTGTGAGGGCGAAGGCAGTGCTACTCTGCAGAAAGCCCATGTAGGTGGCAAGGAACAGGACAGTTACCACTTGCAGTACATACCACCTCAGCCATTGACGGCTACTATTTACCTGGAGCTTTGCCATCACGGAAATATAACAATGAGAGTTAAGTATGATACTGCTTCATAGTGCTGGCCAGACTCCATAGGCTTTCCGGGAAACTAAGCAAGGTTTTCTCAAGCACAGTTGAAAAGTAACACTGTTGAATTTATGCGTCATATATCTTGCAAAATTTAATGCTTATACCATGTTATTACATAGTTAGAACTTAATGTGTCTAGCATTGGCCAAGAACAGGAATGTATGAGACATTTCTTAGCTTCAGCTGCTGAAGGAAATCCACCATCAATAAATGAAGGTGAGATTTTCACGAATGATTTCGTTCGTCTGTGACTCTTGATGAAAATTTTCTGTGAGGCCTGAAAAAGCATCTCGTATTTTGTTTATAAAATTTTAAATTTCTTTAGATTCTTTTTCGATGTTAATGTTTTACTTTGCTTATAAATGTTTTAAAATAAAATAATCATAGAATAATTTTCTTGATACTTCACAATTTAACAGTCATGAAAATAAAAGCAAATAAGGTAATTTTTAAATAAATATAATTTATCACACTAGATAGAGGAAATATAATATACCTCCCCCCCTGCTCCCCCCAAAAAAAAAAATATGCTTAAACGAAGTTTCAGAAGTAGAGTCTTTTCAAATTATTAACACCAGCAACTATTTAATGTTGACTTTCTTCACAGAGTGACAGAACAATGACATAGTTCACAAGAGGAGGCATTATATACCATAACCACTGGGAACAATGGCACAGTCCACAAGAGGAGGCATTAAATACCGTAACCACTGGGAACAATGGCACAGTCCACAAGAGGAGGTATTAAATACCGTAACCACTGAGAACAATGGCACAGTTAACAAGAGGAGGCATTAAATACCGTAACCACTGAGAACAATGGCACAGTTAACAAGAGGAGGTATTAAATACTGTAACCACTGGGAACAATGCCATAGGTTAATTACACTTCTTGTATCTGTAAAGAGGTAACCACTAAAAAAACGTTCTTCAGAATTTTTTCAATGTCTTTTAAGTGTCTGCCATGTCAATGGACTTTCCTTCCCCTACCAAAAATTATTATTATTTTTGCATACTACCTGGCCTGGAGTTCTACGCCTCACTCGCCACGAGTTCAGTCCCCGCCTGTGGTATGGTTTATAAAACAGTTATTTATTGAATATGAGAGCATCTTAAGTAAGAATGGCAGATCTGTGGACCCCAATGGAAATAAGTCACTCTGAATTTTTTGGGTTATCCCAGGTTCTTTACACATATGCTGCTATGTATGATAATCTATGTAACTGTATTTGTGTTAACCTGAATAAATTTACTTACTAACGGTGAACACACTGTTAAGTTTATTTTTTTAACTGTGTGTAACTAAAGTGCTCTACACGATATCACTGATGATGCTGAGTGTAGATAATCAGGGGACTTTCTGTTTGCCATATTGCCATGATGCAGGAGACTGTGTGACTATACCCTAATCAGGGCTTGATACCTAGTTGTCTCTGGAGCACGTAGTCTTTCCCAGGCTTCACCTCCAAATGAGAGAACAATCGTGCTCCTATGGCTGTTCAAACTTAATAAAGGTGTATTGAACACTGCAACACTTACCAAAATAGCCCCCTGTAGACACCTGGCCTCTGGACCCATCTAAGATAACATTCTGGTACACAGATTTCCAATAAGTTGGATTTGAAAGGAGCGACACATAACATGGAGATTTAACACTGTGACAAGCTCTTGGAGTAATGACCACCTCTAAATCCGGTGACTTATTAGGTGCAGCCTGTCTAGTTAGATACAAGGAGAGGAATGAGGAACATCTTATGCCTAGGTGTGCTTCCCACACCTGTGATCTAGTAGTTGTCCGAGGCCATTGCGCGTTTCTTCTAGGAAAATGGTTGATTAGCACTGAAGTCCTGTTTTCTAACAAGAGCTGTCATTGTAGCTGAGCCTCGAGGACTCATTACAGCCAACACGCTTTGACGTATTCTGCATATCCCTTAATTCCATGAACCCAACACTTTAAGTCCCTCCCTGCCTAGATCCAAGAAATTCACTAATAATGTTGAAAATGAGTCTTGTTCCTTATTCAGCTTCCTCATGGTCAAGTCTATGAGTCATCACATTCTGGTGAGTACTGGACTAGCTTAGCACGAGGCTGCCAACCATTCAGGTAAACAACTCAGCAGCCCGACCTCTCTCTGGGCCTCTTCTGACTTGGTAATGTTGCCAGTTGACACTGGAAAAGGCAAAAGTAAATGTTCACTTTCTATGTGACAACACTGATCGAAGATCTAGTAAAACTAGTCGATGTGCTCTTATCTTGCAGCACGTATTGATTCGCTAATAAGGCTGTCTGATTCTATTGGCAGGAAATATTGCCTAACATGTCTAAGAGATTCGTAAGTGACTCAGTTCTTGGCCTCTATATGCCACAGGTTTGTCATAATTACAAGTGATCAGAATAGCTAAGACTTACTGACCACTCAAACCCTTCAGCAAGTAGGATCAGTATTTGAAATCGTTGTATTTAACTCAAAGCCTTACTCACAGACTGAAGTCTTTAATGCTATTAATAATGACCCCATTATGCAGAAATTAATTATATGCCATTGACTTCTGAAGCCGATTAACTTAATGAATGGATTACAATTGCCAGGCTAATTAATTCATCTATCGGTGATTACGTGACCATAGAGATTTCCTTAATCACTCACCCAGTCACTGTTATTCAAATCGTCAACAACAATTAGATAGTTAATTACTTATTATAGCTTCCCATTACTTATAACTGTGATCATTCGTGACAAGTGTCACGTTCCTTTAATCATAAACAATCAACAAGATAATGAGTATATTAATTATAACACTGATAGCAAGACCGACGATCCGTGATCACTAGTGGTTAGTCATGTCAGTCAAATTACTCTTGTGAAGTAAAAGGACACAAGTGCAACTAATGTGACATTTTATTGTGGCAACGTTTCGCTCTCTAGGCGCTTTGTCAAGCCGCTCCTGGAGAGCGAAACGTTGCCACAATAAAATGTCACATTAGTTGCACTTGTGTCCTTTTACTTTACATATTGTCGGTAATTCTACCAAAATATATACAAATTACTCCTGCGTGATTATAACTTAGGTAATACCCGACTCGTTGCTAACAGAATTTAGGGCAGACAGCGTTATTCTTTACAAGCTGTCTTAGTTGACTGTCACTTGACTATTTAACCACATACACATTCCTGTCCAACGTGCATTGAAAATTGGTTGGGCAAATGTTTTGTTAGTGGGATGGATTGTAAAGGATCTGCCGAGTATGGACCAACAGGCCTGCTGCAGTGTTCCTCCTTACTTATGTTCTTATGTGTTCTAGGAATCTACAAATCAAGCCTGCTATAACCTACTTCATGTTCCACAATCAAGCCTGCTATAACCTGCTTCATGTTCCACAATGAATCCTGCTATAACCTACTTCATGTTCCACAATCAAGCCTGCTATAACCTACTTCATGTTCCACAATCAAGCCTGCTATAACCTACTTCATGTTCCACAGTCGAGCCTGCTGTAACCTGCTTCATGCTCCACAATCAAGCCTGCTATAACCTGCTTCATGCTCCACAATCGAGTCTGCTATAACCTGCTTCATGCTCCACAATCAAGCCTGCTATAACCTACTTCATGTTCCACAATACGCTGTGCGTATTGTGGGTGTTTAGGGTGTTAAGGGGCTCAACGCCCGCACGGCCTAGTCCATGACCAGACCTCACGATGGATCAGGACCTGATCACCCAGGCTGTTGCTGCCGGCCGCACGCAAACCACAGCTCAGCTGGTCAGGTACTGACTTGAGGTGCCTGTCCAACTCCCTCCCCCTTATGTATGCTGGGAGACAGTTGAACAGTCTTGGGCTCCTGACACTTAATGTATTGTCCTTTAGTGTACTCATGGCGCCGCTGCCTTTCATTAGGGGATGTTGTACCTGCAGGCAAAGCCTGCAGTGGGCTTTTGAATGTTGGTTGGTCTTCATGTAGTTGTTGTTAGACCTTCAGTCATGGGGAAATAAGGGGACACCCGCCTCTATGTGTACAAAGGAACATTATTTATAATACATGTTTACAACAGATTACAAACTGACAGTAAAGATGTCTTGTACTTGAGTGTTTGAAGGGCCATATAATTCACACAATAGGGATTATTACACTTATATTATCAATGATGGTCACTGTTCACTGATTCTCTAAGACAACATCTCACGGAACTACGTCACTGGTTCTCTAAGGCAACATCTCACAGAACCACGTCACTGGTTCTCTAAGGCAACATCTCACAGAACCACGTCACTGGTTCTCTAAGACAACATCTCACAGAACCACGTCACTGGTTCTCTAAGACAACATCTCACAGAACTTCGTATCTAGTTGGAAGAACAAATTTTAGATTTTTTTTTATGTCTGCCAGCTTACCTTGGTGCAGGTGACTGCTCAACTTAGTGCTAATAAGGGCATGGTCCCTAATACTTCCTAGTCTCTCCATCCATT